TATGTTGTGTACTTTTTGTTTGCAGACTGTTATCGAAAATCGCATTAAACATACATTTGCTGGGTGATCGGGTGCGTTTTGCAGTGGGCGTTGGGCAAACACACACAGAGCACACACAATCGATATTAATCACATTATCAGGTGGGTAGCACGTAGTCGTCACCCGATGGCCATTCATTCTCCACCTCCCCGGAGGCTGAGATGGCGAAATGGCATTGGAGGACTCATCTATGGGCGATGGGCGATGGGCGATGCTCTTTCATGCAAATCTGGCCTCATCCTAATTTATGCTGCGGCTCAGTTTACAAAATTTACATGAGCTTGCTTTTCCGAGGAGGGGTCTATGCAGCAGCTGCTTGACCTACTCCAAATCCAGATCCCCATCGCTTTCCCTCGGAATCACTTAAGTCCGGCTATATGCATGGCAATGGCAACATTTGGCTTTGGCCACTACCCAGGAGTACGAAAAAAACTTCATATTCATAACACACACGAACCCTGTTTTCGCTCCTTGTTGCGGTCTTAAGTCGCAGCCCAAAAAGCCCCAAAAAAAAAAAGGACGAAGGACGAGCCTGGTGGACAGCAGTTTGGCTACTTAGTGGCCAAACATTTGACATAATCGTTGATAAGGGATTGCTTAACAAAACCAAAAGAAAACTGCGAAAAGGACCACGCACCAACCAAAAAAAAAAAAAAGAAAAAAGAAAAGAAAACCAAAAATAAACCAAGGAAAGTATAAGATAAATAAAAGGACAAAGCACAATCTGGGCGAGTTTCTTACCTAACTGAAAACGCAATTGGCTCGAATAAAGAAAAATAAAAGAACTTTCGAGCGAAATGTGGGTCAAGCGAGCACAGAGTATTTTCGTGGAGATTTATCGATGCCCTATTTAGATACACATCTAACTGCGAGTATCTCGTATTTGTTTTGCCCATCATTAATATTTTTCTCTTCCCTTTTCTTTTTTTGGTACTGTTAGATACAAACCCAAGCAGCCATTTCGGAATTTACTGTAAAAGGCTTTAAGAGCTATTTTTTCAACCTTTACTATTATTATATGTTGTAGTATTTAGTATTTATTTGTAGTATTCAAGCTGAAATATTTCCCCCTACCTATAATATTATTATATTTCGCAGTATTTAAGTGTTTATTATTTATTTGCAAAAACATATTCCCTTAAATGTTCAAAAAAATTTGAACTATTTTATATTCTGTAGTATTTAAGTATTTAATACTATTCAGTATTTATTTTTAGTATTTGAGTTGTAAGATTTTGCCCTAAATATCAAAAAAAAATGGACTATTATAATATTTTCATTTAATATATTAGTTCTAACATTTTTTCCCTAAATATAAACACATACGATTTTTTATTGAAAATCAAATAGGATAATAGGATAAAAAGGGTTTGCATTTTAAACAATACCATATACATTTGTAGTATTTTTTAATTTGTCTAAAATGCTCTACATATATTTATAATGCCTTGAACTATTTTTTACATACATATTTGTCCTTACAATCTTGGCCGCAGCTGTGGATATCCGCTTTTTTCTATCCATAAACCATCGCTCATAATTTAAATTCCCTAGATGGCGCCTAGCACAAAAACAACACAAATAGAAAATGTCATGCATTTTAATGTTGGATCGGGACACGTGTCCTTTAATTAAGCAACGGAGCTCCCCAAAAAAAAAATCCAATCAAAATGCGTCGGCTGTTTTTTGTTGATTTTTCGCCCCGATTTCAAATATAAATTTTACATAACGCATACGCCGCGTGACCCCAGCACTTTCTCGATAAGTTTTTGATAAATATTCCCATGCCCCGCGTTCGCAACTTCGTTTCTTTGGCCTGACAAGTGGCTACCATTTTTTAATGTCACTTTTTGTGTGTGCTTGTGGCCACAGAAGGGGGGTTACTGGGAAGTAGGGCTGCTTGGATGTGGGGATGTTTGGTTGTTCGGGGTGTCTTCGCTGCCCAATGGAGCGTACATTTTGAAATTGAAATCGGCAGGGGCGGCGAAAGGGGGGCCAGAGCCACATCAGCAGCAGCCGCTGCCAGTTCCTTCTTTATCTGCCCGACAGTCGGTGGATGCTTCATTGAGTTTTATGTAGAAAAATGCGCAAAATACATATATCCCCTATATAGATATATATATATCTATATATATATAAAGGCGTATATATACCGAGGGCTATAGAGTGCCGATGGGCAATGCCTCTGCCTGACCAGGCAAAAACTCATAAAACTTGCACCGGCTCCTTGGCTCCTTGGGCTCCTTGGGCTCCTTAAGCTGGTTAAGCGTTCGCACAAAGTGTTAAGTCTCTTACTTTGTTTTCACCTCCCCGATGCCGACCAACTCCGACCTTTCCGACCTCTGCCCCCCATTATCCCCCGATCACCTTGAACAACAGGCCCCCTTTTACGTCCCTTTGCGGATGTTTGAATGCTTTATAATTACATTTTATGTGCCATCGTTGTGTATATAAGATGCCAACAGGTGCAATCCATCGACTCTTCGAGATGAATTAAAAGCCTGCGAGGGCACTGAAAAAAATAGGGGATAAATGGGACTGTAAATATATTCATAAGGGTATTAGATATTAATTTATTTTGCTTATATTTTTAAAGAATTTTTATGGATTTTTTAGAAACGAGGATAACAAGTTTTATTTCTTTTCCAAATTATTTATTTTCAACATTTTTTAAAATATATATTTATATGTTTGTATTCTTTTTGTTGATATGAGTCAAAAATAAATATCACCGTAGACTTAAATAGATTAATTATAAATTAAAATAAAACGAACTAATATTAACACCTATTTGTAGTTATCTTTTTATTTGGATAAAAAAATACAGTAATTAAATTAATATGTTTTTATGTTAATTATGTTTATTATAGATTGATATTAGATTAGATTAAATATGGTTTATTTTCCGACATTTAAAATTTTTTAAATTTTATTTTGGTATTACCCATACTTTAAAGGATTAAAAAAAAGGTGTTGAACGTTAAAGTTAGAAGCTTAAAAATATATGACAATTAAACTAAAATAAACTTGTTAAAACATTGTACACATGAAGGACTTTATTTTTCATGCAGTGTAAAAGCTTGTGGAATGTCAGAAACCCGTGCCTCCATCTTCGTTTACTTAGTTTACAGTCTTTATTGAATGTTTGCCTTTGGCTCCATGGATTCAGTGTTGTAATTGCTCGAGTTTAATGGCCAATCGCCGTATCCTGTCTGCAAAACCAGTTTCTGGTTACAACTTACTTTTCCAACATTCCCCGACCACCCTGAAAAATGTAAATCCGCGGAAATCGACCGACAATATCTGATACCCGCGGCGTTCCCACTCATAATTTTTTGTTCTTTTTTTTCGATTTACATTTGCGACATGTTTACAGTCATTTGGAGACATGAAATTCCCTGTTCGCCAAAGGCATGGTATTGGCTTTAATAAAAAAATCCGTAATAAATCCGTTTCCGAGGGGCATTAAGTGTAGCATTGTCTATGTAATGAATGCCAAGTGAATGCCAAGTGAATGCTAAGTGAATGTTGAGTGTTTGAGTTTGGCGAATGGACGAAAGCGAATAAGTGCGTCACTGAGTGGGCGATGATTCCCGATTGATTGCCTCATGATGGCATTGCGTCTGATTTGGATTGGGATTGAGAATGGGTTTTCGGTGGAGATTCAACAGCTGAATAATGACTGCCGTTCACTTCACGCATGATTTGTTCAGAGATTGTTATTCATTAGAAATTTGTGGCAAAACAATTGCCACAATATTCAAGGATTTCCGGATGGATATCTTTCCTGGAAAGTTGATTGATCGTTCATTCGTATTAAATTACTGCGAAATTGCGTCACTTTGCCGAATAATTTAACGATTTCTTAAAGGTATTTGTTCAGCTGTTAGTGATACATGTTTGCACAATATTATTTAGAGGCCTAAGCTTGTCGATTGACAACCCATTCAGAAGCTAATCAGCTTGATTGATTGGGGTCAAGTAGCTAACACTAATTAGATAACTCCCTGAACCCATGATACCCGTCAATCATTGGCCATCAATCACGGTGGCTGATAGTTAAGCAACTTGTCGGTGCAAAAAGGTTCAATTACGCACAAATCAAACTTGCCTCAAAGTTAATGAACTCTGTGCTGACCCAAACAAACTCACCTTTTACACTCACCATCCTTTTTTCTTTATTTATTGGCAGCAAACCCCCCCCCAGTTTTGAATGGGTATTCGTTTAAGTAAATATTGAGGATGACTTGGGTGCGAAGTTTTGTGTTTAATTATTAATTTGAATTGCAATCTAAGCAAGGTTATGTAGAGTACTTTAAATGGGGGTACCTCTTGTGAAATGTATTTAAAATGAAAATTAAATAACCTTTTTTTAAGGAATTTTATAAAATATTTGGTAGAAAAGTCTAAAATCTTAGAAAATACCTAACTTAAAAAAAAATAATTTCATGTTTTATATCGTTAACCCATTGAATTTTAAGAAGGGTTATTTTTTAATTTTATTTTTTCTTTAAATTGGAAAATATTTATTTATATTTATTATTTAATATTCGGGAAACAGAAGAAAAATACTTAAAATTCACATTAATGATACATCTTTGATATAGACTCAAGCTTAAAATTTCGTAAAAGTGTTTAAAAAAGCTAGGCTCACAGTTCCTTTAAGATACTCAATTTCCCTGAAGCTGATACCATTTTTCTCTCTGTGTAATTGTGCGCTGTGGCAAATACCGATGGGAAAGCTGTGGTTGCCCTTTAAACGACTTTTGGCTGTTGGAATTCTGTTGAAAACTAAATCGTTTCGGTGTGAAACACTTAATGATGTGCCCCGAGTGTGTGTGCTGTGTGTGTGTGTCTGTGTGTGCGTGCTGTGTTGTGTTTCGCAACTAAATTGTTAGACATTTTAATTAATTTGCACTTTAATGTTTACTTAGCTAAATGTTTTCCTCCCTGCCTGCAGGCAACAACAGCAACAGCAACAGCAACAGCAACGGCGACAGCGAGCGGAAACGACAGCGGCAGCTACAGATACTTGTAACTAAAGTGACATGAGGCCTTAACAACAATAACACCAAAGCAACAGCAACAACTACAACAGCAACTATAAGAACAAAGGATACAACAACAAGAAAAACGACAAACAAAAACAAGCAACCGTAGAGCACTAAAAACCAAATTACAAACAATTAAAAGCGAGCACAGGCAAGGATCCTCCAGGGAGAGAGAGCTTGACAACGGTACTGCGGCCACGCCCCCTGGAAAAACACACACACACACACACAAAGGACCCGAAAAAGGAGGCGGCACACGCACAAACAGTCACAAACACGCACACAGTAGCCAGCTAGCTACATGCCTCAATGGCAGCTTCATCGTTTATGGCCAACTAAAACTGAGCAGCGAGCCCTGAATTTGGCCGGGTTGCCGGGCATCCTGGCCACCAGTCCATCATCGCCGGGACCTTTGTCTTTGTTTCGCATCAGGACCAGAAACACGGGCAGCAACAGCAACAACAGGAGCGACATCAACGGCAAGGGCAATAGCAACGCCACCAAAGGCGGCAATAAAAAGTTTTGCTTTGTGTGTGTGTCTCGTCGGTGTCGACATTCTTGCCCCATCCTGCAGGTTCCAGCTACCAGCTACCCCTCCTTCCACCAGTGCCACGCCCCCCTTAAAACGGTGTCGCCCTCGTTGTCCTTGTCGTCATCGTCAGACGCCTGTGGGCACTCAATTAAGCCCAATTCAACGCAACTTGAAAGCGACAACGGCAACAAAGGCAGCTGCCAAAGTAACAAAAACAGCAGAGGGCGGAACAACAATATCTGGGGAGACGGCAGCAACATTAATATTAATAACAATAGTAGAAAAAACACCAGCAACATCTACAATTGCAGCTGCAGCAGCAACAACTGCAGGCCAAGAGACAGCAGCAACACCTTCTTCAAAATCTCTAATTGAAACTGAAAGAGCAGCCACGTTTATTTAAAGAGCAGAAGAAGCAACAGCAACATCAGGATCAAGTGCAACATCAGCCATAACTGGAGTAGCAACAACAGCAGCAACATCCGCTACAGCAATAGAAGCAACAACTGCAACATCAGCAACAACTGGAGTAGAAACAACAGCAGCAACAGCTGCAACATCAGCAGCAACTGAAGTAGAAACAACAGCAGCAACAGCAATCATTGCAACACTAGCTTCTAAAGAAAAGGCAATAAAACCTACTCGGAAAAAAAAACCTGCAGCAACAGCAACATTGGCCATTAAAGCGGCAACAGCAATACAAGTGGCAAATACAGCAGCAACAGCAATTCCAGCTGCAACAGCGCAGCAACCACGCCCACGTAATCATCAACGCCCCCGCCCACTCACACAGACAAGGACACAGATACAGATTCCTTTTTTGAATTCGAGCGGAAAAAGGAGCAACTGCCACGCCCACGTATCGCAGGCGAGGGCGGCGGGCGGGCGGACGGTTGAGTGGATGTCAGGATGAAACTGAGCGTGAGCGCGTATCGGGCGCATGCATCCGCACACAAGAAGATCCTCTCCAGCGGCTATCACTCACAGCTCAACTACGGCAGCACTGGAGCGGCAGCGGCATCCTCCTCGTCGTCGGGGGCCACTGCAACGGGCCTATATACGGTGAGTCCCTGGGTCCTTTATTGGTATAGTAGGTGGCACCCACACACATTCCACTCCTCCTCCTCAAATACTAGTTAGTATCTCCCACTCGTACCCATCCATCTCCAGTCCGATATTAAGTCTGATTCCCAGAAGGACAATCTAGTGTTTCGGTAATGTATACCTCATTACACTGCGCGAAACGGCGGTGTTAACATCAAAATGGTTTCTGATTTGTTTACTCCAGAAGCCTGCCTCTTGAAAACAATATTTATAACTGGGAGCACCAGAGTTTATATTTCTTGATTGTTATTGTCAAGATATTTATTATTGTTGGATTATACAAAATCCACAAAATCTTCGTTTTTAAGCTCCATTTCCTAATTCTTCTTTTTATTTTCATAGCACTTTCATCTCTCTTTGAAATATTTTAAACATTTTAAAATCTTAAAAGGTTACCCACATCATATTTATCTGCCGCTTTTAGTATGTTTGAATTTTCATACAAATTTCATAAAGTTTTAACAAAACTTACCTATTTAATAACATTTAAGATGCATACTTATTGGCTAAAATCATTATTATCATCATTCATTTTAGGTAGACTTCTACTTTTTGTTTGTTTTTAGCTTAGGCATTCATGAAGTCTGAATATTTTTATGGAAAATTCGTAAGTTTCAGTGTAGTTTGGCCTTAATTTCCCTCTTTTCCCCCTTTTTTCCATCACTTTTGCCACATTTCCCCCAATCTCTCCCCTGTCTCCCTTCGCTGCTCATTAATGTTGTGTGACAAACAAAGGCATAAAATTTAAACATTTTTGATTATGAGTTTTAGTGTTATGTCCAACCATGGTAGCTACATTTTAATGATATTGCTTGCGAAGGACAGCGCAAATATGTATGTATCAAAATGAATTGGGGCTAAAGCCGTTGCTTAAAATAGTAGTCAAAAGCAGCTTGCAAATAAATATTGGAAAACCATTTGAGAAAATTGCCATAAAAAGCAGCCTGGATTTTAGAAAATAACAAGGGCCCAAACAAAAAGGTGTAAACAATAATATGCTTAACAATAATTTGGGGTATCCTTTTTTTATAATTTCCGTTGAACTCATTATTATAAACCAACTTCCTAATACAATAATTATAGTGTTTCTGCTGCACTTGATACCAGAATATTAGAAAACATTAAGCAATTTACCTATTTAAGTTTTAATCTAGCCAGAAACTGAAACCGTCTAGAACTCTTTACCCAAACTTCATCAGCATTGTCCGCATAATTTTGAACAACTTCCTAAAGGAAACTTCGTTAAGCTCGTTACCTGAATTTCGAAAATACAAAAAAAAACATTAAAGCAAGTGCCCTAGATCAGAATGAATATTCATTAAAATTTGCAAACTGACCAAAAGTTATTAAATTAGTTTTGAAAGCGCTGCCCAAATAGTTTTGCAGCCCAAGTGAGCCAGCCATGGGTAAATTACGTAAAAGCCATTAAAGAAAATCAAGGCTCAATCATGAAAAGTTGGCTCGAGTTCGCTGCACCCAAATAACCCGGCCAATGAGCACCAGAATATGTGCAGGAAATTGGAAATGCTCCCCATATTTATATATGCACATGCATCCGATTTGTCATGGGCTGATGAAAACAGAGGCCACTTCACTCTTGGGTTCATCATAGTTATAGGCACAACTATTTATGGTCTCCTTTCGATTCGGAATGGAAGCTTAACAGCAGCGCAGTTATCCCAGCTCACAGTTCCCAGTTCCCAGAACTCAGAACCACAATAAATTCCAATCAGGTCTTGTGGCGCATTTAATTGCCATGTCCACGGGCGACAGCTGCTGGTGGCACGGATCAAAGCTCTATGTATACAGCTGGGGTCATTAATAAGAGTGCTGACATAGAGAAATTACTAATGTTTTAGTAATTTAGGTGCTTATTCAAAAAGGTGTCAAAAAGTATGCAACAAAAAAGAACGCCGTCTTTTGTGGCCTACTCTTACGCACATTGATAAGTGATTTGAAATAAATTATATGTTTGGCCTTTACCAATCTTTTCAATCAATTTGCATATGAATTAAACAATTTACAGCATCCAATTTAGGTGCTTATTCATAAACGTGTCTAAAAGTATGCAGCGAAAACGAACGTCGTCTTTTGTTGACTATTTTTAGACAGATTTATAAGTGATTTGAAATCAATTTTGGGACTTACCAATCTTTTTAATCAATTTGCATATGAATTAAACAATTTAGAGCAAGTAATTTTGGTTCTTATTTAAAAAGTGCCTAAAAGAATGCAGCAAAAAAGAATGCCGGCTTTTGTTGCCTATCTTTAGACAGCTTTATAAGTGATTTCAAATTAGTTTTAATATGTTTAGGCTTAACCAATCTTTTCAATCAATTTGCATATGAATTAAACAGTTTACAACATACAATTTATGTTCTTATTCAAAAAGGTGTCTTAAAGTATGCAGCGAAAACGAACACAGTTCTTTGTTGCGGTGAGATTTATAAGTGATTTAAAATCAATTATAATTTTTTTAGGCTTTACCAACCTTTTTAATCAATTTTCATATGAAATATTCAAATCTAATGATGCTATTCCAAAAAAAAATGTTAAAACTTTTACTCATTTAAGATGAGAATTTAAAATAACATACTACAGTGTTAGTATCGGTGTTAAATGAGACTCACAATTGCCTTTTTTATATCCCGACTCTTTCTATTAATTCTGTGATAAATCGCTCCAAAGTATACAATTTCACCATTATTATTTCTATGCTATTGACATTTGAACGTGGGCCAATAAATTCACGTTGAATTATAATATTGGATGGCTGATTGCTGTTTGATTTTACACAGGCAAATAGCAAAATAGCACTATTATATTGACCGCAGATGTAGGTATATACATATTTGGTGTGGTATAGCTCACAAGTGAAGCTTAATCTGGCACTCTGACCGATTTGTCAACTAATTGGTGGGAACGGCGTACAAATCCCGCTAGATATGTGTATGTTATGCGGTTTCCCCTATTTAGAGTGTTGGCCAAATTGAAACCCCCCTCCCCCCACTGGATTTAGCCAGTTTTGTCACGGACACACGCCCACTCACAGGGATCACACGAGGGGGGGTTAAGGGGTTTGCGGAATTTGGACATGGATACGGAACACGGATGCGGATACGGAGTACGGACACAAGCACCGTCAATCTGTCCCAATGGTCAAATCGAAGCTTTCAAGTTTGCGGCACTCGAGTACTTATATAAGTACTTGGCAACCCGGCTACCCATGGAGCTCACTTAAAGTTAGTTTTGGCCATTGGTGTTAAATTGATAATGGTTTTGGCCAACAAGTGGTCTTCATGTCCATCCCTGATTCAATAAGAGTGGCTGGGATTTTGATTTTGATTTTATTGCGGTGCGATTGCGATGCCTTGATTAGTCTTGGCTAATACTTATTGATTTTTGATGGAGCATTTATGCTTCCTTTTGAATTTCCCCATTTAATTCTCATTGATTTCCGAGAAACATCCTGCGCAGTAGATATTAATAATTCCTGTCAATATGTAAGTTCTTTGATTGGTTTTCTTTTAAGTCCTATTGATTTTTAAAAAGGGAAGTTCTTGTTCGTTTTTCTTACTTCATTACGTACGTGGTTTCGTTTGCTGTATTTAAATAAATAATTATTAAAGCTGCACGTAAACTGGGACTTTGCAATTTGGGCTTAAAAAAATGTTTTTTATACCACCATTGGCATCATTTAATGAAGCCTTGCCGTTTTTTTGTCTTTATTCAAATGTTATGAAGTGCTGCATTTTCATTTAACAGCCTCATAGTATATAATAAAAAATCCACCCTGCGTATAAAAACGTGCTTTAAGTCAATTTCTGTTGTCAGCCAATCCCAACAGGAATCAATAATGCAATATTTAAATTTTAAAAGCATGCTTCGACAAAAGTTCTCAGAGCTCATGGCTCTCGTTCGCCAGTTTTTCCACCATCAACCATCCCCGCAACCTTCGATCCACACAACCAGCACACCCACTTATTCCCCAGCCAACTCTCGCCCACCTGAAGGCTCAGAGTTGGCCAAGTTTTCGTGTCACAAGCAATCGAATCAAAGTTTAATTATTATCGTCAACATCATCCGATTTAAAATGCACCGTGGGGCAAAGTGGCAAGGCTCAGTGCCAGATGCAGTTCCAGATACGAATGTCGATGCTGTTGCAGATATATGTATATGAGCACAGTTGTGGGTGACATAATAGCATCTACTTTTATTTATTCAGAGGTCAAAAGTTCTGGGATATACCCATTTACTCTTCGTGGTTAGCCTTAAAATGCTTTTAAGACTATAGACAGACCTATATAGACCATGTTATATTTATTTTTGTAAAGCACTGCAAATGTTTCCTAACTGTTTATGGGAAATACTAATATTTAATGTTATGTTTACTTGAATTTTATTAAATTAATCATTGATTCATATACATACATACATTGTATTTTACATAATCCTAACTTTTCCTATTTTTGTAAACTTCAAAATCTGTTTTCTGTTAATGATAACAACATTTTTGGGTACAATTTAGGGGTCTTAAAAGCTAGAATAATACAGATAGTTATAGTTATGACCCCCGCTGTGCAAATGCATTGACATTTGAGATCCTGTTACAGGTAGAATTTGCATAATTAGCAATTAAGATGGGCTCAATTCCGATTGATGAGACACCCGGCGGGGTGTCGGCCTATATACACCTATAAGTACATATACAGGAATAGCAATGCCAATAAGCTGAATTAATTCGGTTGAATTATACCCCTCATCTTACCCACTTGCAGATGGAAGCCCACGAGCACGAAGCGGGCAAGTTTGTGAAGGATGTGGCCCGTCAGGTGCACGACTGCAACAGCGATACGGACGTCATCAGTCCCACGGGCACCAGTAGTTCCGGCGGAGGCGGCGGAGGAGGTGGCGGAGGAGGCGGTGGAGGAGGCGGAGGATCCGGTGGTGCCGGTCCCAGCGACGGTGGCTATCACAAGCGGCACCACAAGATGGTACGCGATGAAGACAACAACAGTGCGGCGCACTCCTCGGACAGCAAAAGTCCCAGTCAGCGGTAAGTTCGATGAGCACAACTACACACAGGCCAAGCAAATGAACACCCACACCTGCACTGAGCGAAAAAATGCCAAATAAATGCTAACTAAATTATTGAAAACCATTCAGCCTTAGAAAATGATTTTTTAAAAGTAAGGAATTCATTATGAAACCTATTTCAATTGCTGATATTATTATAAAGGTAATAGCTTTCTTATAAATGAGTTGAATATGTTATCTAATTATGATATTTTATAATTATTTGCCAAAGACTTTTAGCTAAAGATTATATAAATATTGAAAATCTGTATTCCAATATTTAAGTATTGCCAATTTTGTATTGTAACTTTGATTCTCTAATTTTTTTATTAGAGCTTATACTAATATTTGAGTATTACAAGTATACTTTTCAAATAATTTTAATTTAATCTTATAGTTAAAAAAAATTTTTGGATTAAAACAGAAAAAATTGCTTGGTAAAATGATGAGGCTGTACTTCGTTGTTATTAGAGTAACTATTTTATTGCTTAAATTGACCAATGGATTTTTTTTTGATTTTAAAAAATGTTTAGTATTTGCGAAATAAAAAAACTTGCATTTAGAAGGCACTTTTTCGCCCAGTGCACTCACCCCAACACGTGTAAAATAAAAGTTGAAAGCGGAGAAAAAAACGAAGAGGAGCATCACAAAGATGATTTATTCAAATCGTGCCAAGTTGTTACCAAACACATAAACATAATCCGGCTCTGCTTATCCTGCAGTCCGCATTTTACACACAGAAACACGCACACTAACACACTAACATACACAACACTCACTCATACTTGTGCAGTAACTAACTACATATACATAGACACGTGCCGTAAGCGTAATTGATAAATGTGTAGCATACTTTGTTGGGCTTCGCTCGCCTTGGCAGCTTTTTGTACTCTGTATTTGATCAACCGTAAGCGACATCACATCCGTACTCGCATCCGTATTCGTAAGACAAGGACCAGAAGAAAAACCAACCAGCCCGATTCGATTCAATTAAATTAAATTAGCAATTAGCAAGTCCCGCCCCCTTCGCCATGCGAATCCTTGTCGTTTGGAGCGCTGAAGCCTGGCATTGGGAAATGCCAAATGGGAATTGAAATCTGAATGGGAATGTGAATGCGACTTCAAAAGTTTCCAGTTTGGGTTTTGGTTAATCTAATCAGGGGTCTTAGATCCGACTGGCGGATGCTCGATACAGGCACAGTGCGTTTCATAGCTGTGGGTAAAGTGTTAAAATAATAGAATCCTATCAATTTCCAATTACCGAAGGTGTCACAAAAAAACTAATGGGTGTGAAATCACTTGAAAAGGTGCCTAAAAGTATGCAGTGAAAAGCAAAACCTTGTCTTTCCGCATGAATCCATAGGAATTTCGTACTCAAAATGTATTGTTGCATACTTTTAGACACCTTTAAGTGTGATTTCACCTCCTGTTGTGTTTTTATTTGCTTAGAAAAACAATTTAAATTTATTAATAAGTTTAAATGAAATGAATAATTAAATTTTGAATTATAAAATGTTGTGATAAGAGTGCTAAAATAATTTTAAATGAGTGAGTGACATTAATATTTGCTTGCCTTACTGCTATTAAACGCACTGTCCAAGGAGTCTATTCCAAGTAAATGTTGAGATTGTGGTTTTTCAAACTTTTTTTTGCTTTTGCAGTTGAATGGAGCTGTCACTCTGATAGATACACTCACACACTCACACAGAGGCAACTTTTGTTTGTGTTTATTGTGTCTTTGTGGTGGCAAAAAGGAAATTAGCAATGACAATTAGCCGGGATTGCCCATGTCCGTGATATGTGTGTGTGTGTGTCTCGGGGTGTCACAGTGTCACACTGTCAGGGTGTGTGTGTGTGTGTGTGTGTACATGATTTCATTAATTAACCCGACCCAGGCAAACAAAGGCGGTGGCAACGGAAGGAGGTGCCGCCCTCCCAGGGGACAGCAGTTGACAACTCTTTGGCCTAATGTGCCCTCGCCGGGTAATCTTCGGGCACACGAATCCACTCCAGCTTCATTCCAGAACGAGACCATGAAACCATGAGACCATGAACCACCACAACCACACTGAACCGCGGCTGCCACTTCCAGAATGCTAATGTCCCAAGGCAAACAATTTAATCAAGACGAACCAGAAAAAAAAGCACACAAGAAAGACATTGCCTCGTAAAATAGATCTGAACTTGGCCTTTTGGAAATTTTCCATTTATTTTAAAGTATTCAAGGAATTTTGCTAGACTTATATCTTATTGAATTTGTAAAAGGACCTATTGAATGATTAATATAATAAGAATTATAGGTATTACTATTTTTAAATCTTTTTCAATATTAACCCAATTAAATTTAAATAGAAAGACAGAATTTCAAAGACAACACAGTTGGGTACTTTAAAATTAAGGTGGTTGCCTTGTTTTATATGAGATATAAATACATTTTGAGCTACCTTCTATACAACTATATTTGTCAGTATCTAAATGATATGTCTAGGTATCTTAAAATGGTTGCCTTTTTTTGGTGGTATAAAAAAAAACATAAAAAACTGAGAGCCGTACCCAGAACCCCTCCTATATCGCATGTTATAATCAGAGTATCCACTTCTCGCATCGCTCGATCGGATCTTGAACACACAATACAGATCCGGCAGCTCGTCGCTGGCCAGTGCGCAGCTGCACCACTGTGGTTGCACCACCACTAGTTTAAGGTACACAGAGAGGGATAGACTTATACTGACGCCGGCACAACCGCATCCGCATCCACATCCGCATACGCATCCGCATTCGCACCAGGCCCGTCAGCGGCGCCAAGTGCGCCTCCATGTGAACAGTCCGTCCTCCGACCAGAGCGCCACCACGCCGGTGGGTCAAGGTCACAGGCCACTGCCCGCGATGAAGACCCTCTCCTCGTTCATCAGCGAGCATCCCGAGGAGCTGGTGGCGGCAACTTCTTTGGCCACGGAGGACAAGGATCCGTTGCGGACCTCACCCGCCTCCAATGGCCAGCAGACAACGAAGTGGAAGAGCCTGCGGGCCGTGATGGCCTACTACTGCTCCCTGAGGCGCATCAAGAGGAACGTTGCCACACCCACAAATCCCGTTTTCAGTGTTTCCCCCTTGCGTTCTCGCGTTTTGCTAGCGTTAACTAACTAACCAGTGCACAGAGAAAAAATATCACCACTATCGTTGGCCAGCCATTTGGTTGTTTTTTTAAGAAAAATAAAAAACCTCTAGAGGAAGTAAATCTCATATATATATTCAAATGATGTTAGATTTAATGAAATCCTAAGTGTCAATTTATTGATTCTGAATTTAAAATATAAAATATTTAATTGTTGTGGTGTTATAAAATATATAAAGTTATTATTTATAGCGATTATTTTACATCTTTCACGTTTATGATTTATAATTAAGATTTTATTTACAAATCTGTAGATTATTCACACTGAATATAACTAGTTAGATTATATTGTCTTTTAAAATCTACATGTAATTTTGGATTCCATAAAATGTTGTAGAAAGTTTGTATTTCATAAAGAAAATATAGAGGGAAACACCATGGAACTAAGTAATTAAGTTGGCCAAATGGAACCGATATTGTAGTGTTTTTTTTTCTCTGTGCACCCATTTATATGTGTGTGTAAACTCTCTTTGCGTGCGTGTGCGTGTGTGTGCGAGAGAGAATCCTGGCTCTTGCTATCCTCACCACCACCATCACCACCGAAAAAAAGCGAAGTCCTCGATCCGCCCTCGATAATTATCGATATGTACTAACCCATCCACTAACGCTCATCGATCGCTCGCCCTCTCTCTTTCTCTCTCTCATGCTCTCACTGTCTCTCTCTCGCTCTAACAACGTACTAATCCGAAAAACGTAGTGTATGAACCTATGTGTAACCTAATATATAACCCATATATCATTGATGTGTAATCGAATGCCAGACCTCTCTGAACTCAACTCAACTCTGAACTAAAACTCAACTCAAAAAACCGCCTGCTCGCCCGTTCGCTAACTAACTCTATCCCACTCCCACTCTCTGTTCCACAGATCTGTGTCTATTGCCCCTCTCTCTCTCTTTCTCCACAGTTAAGCCTCGATAAGTTTTCTTGGGAAACTTTGCCCACCCCCCGCACACACCTCCCCACGACTTTTCTCATTTAATAAATTTGACGGGAACTTGCATTTATTAGCCCATATGCACATGATATATGATCTGTGTGTTGGCAGGCGTGGTCGTGCAGGGGGAGGTAACACTGTACCCACTAGAAAGTAATGGGGAAAGAGGTGTCTCTTGGCTGGGTATACATTTTACCACTTTCTGTTCTAGTTTCGGTTCATTTTTGGCAGAGGGCAACTTAAAAAGTTTGCCTCAGCTAAACAAGTTGATGCCAACACAACCACACACACACACGCTCTTACACTTACTCACACATACCCCCGCCAGCACACACACTAACACACACACATGCTTATAAGGGTGTAAGAGGAACTTTTGCTTGAAAAATCTCAGCAAACAGCCAAAGTTAAAGTGGCTTTTGTCAGTGTGCGTTTGAATCGATATGTTTAAGCTGCTGACTGCAATGTAGGCGAACTTTTGACACAAATACACCAGCACACACACTCACAGACACACAGACACAGTGGCGTGCCGAGGGGGGTTTCCGTCTCTAAGCCAAAAAACTATGTTCTTAATAGACTAGTGGAGTTAATTAGGTCTAGATATTGACTAAGATATATTTATTTTCCGAGGAATTTTTGTAATCGATCTTATATCGATAACAAAAACCCAATACTTTATATGGGAAATGAAAATAGCTTTTCGAAAATGTGACAAGGTCGTGTTTATTTGCATATTGCAAAGTGGCCTAATTGAATTATTTCAAAATCATTTTATAAAGAAAGGCATAGTGTTAATAAAGAGCTATCAATTAATCGTTGGGATATTTATATATCGATACATATCGATGTTATATCCTATCTATAGTTACCCACTGATAAAATAATCCTTTACTATATTAAAGTAATTATAGGTATACAACTGTCTGCTATCCCTTATATGCAATTAAAGGAAGAATCCCTCCCCCTTTAAAAATTCCAGCCTACGCCACTGGTCTAGACCTACCACATTGCGCCTATGCATATGCCAATGCCACAAAGTTCACCCACCACCACCGCCCAGCTTCTCTTTCGGCATTGTGCATGCAAAATGGGAAATTGCCTTCTGACTGACAACTTACAAAGAATTTGAATTTAGAAAATTGCAAATTTATGTAGAAGCCAAGTGAACACAATACACTCAATGGTAACCTAGAATTTATGCATCCTCTTGGACCGATTGGATGTCATCATCTAGTTTTTTTTTTGCCTGGTTTTTTGGCCGGCGAAAAGGGCTGCATGTGGCATCGGTGACAGCTGAGAGGCCTCCGGTATATGTATATTCCGCCTCCCAAGAGCCTCCTACCTAATCCCCCCCTCCCGCCATGCCGCCGCCCCTGCGGTTAGGTAATTCCCTTACAAGCAACTCTGATTCGCAATCAAATTCATTTGTTCGATCCGGCAATTGTGTTTTGATTTGCAAGCACTTGAAATGCGGCTCACATCCGGTGGCGACCGATATTTTCGTCTTTATTGCATTGTCAGCAAGCTCAAGTTCCTCATTAACTAGGATGACCCAAATAATTGGGGTATTAGCCATGGCTAATAAGGCACATACACGCTCGATGGGTGTCGCAAAAATTCGCAGTCAGGGGAATTTACGAGCGGAGTCTGGTTTAAGTGTCACCGAAATGTCTTTCGGTGGATTTTACATTTTTGTCGACCGGTTTTATGTGGTATACGTACCTTTTGTGTCTTTATTAAGGCTTCCCAAAATTATTTTCAAAGGAATAAGTTTATTTTTTTTTAATATGTAGTAGAGTTTATGGAACCAGTACAATTTACTTAGTTAAGGAGAGAGAAAATCATATAGGGAAAATTTTTAATTAAGAATAAAAGTTTTGATTTTTAAGGCATTTAATTTTGACAGTGTATATTTACTTATATATAATTCCATTTAAAATTAAGAAGCTGATTTTATTGGTCCGACATATTGCCCATTTAGTAAGCCATTCAAAGAAATGGCACTTAAAATATGATGCTAACAGCATTTTTCTCGCTACAATTACGTTGAGGGCATCCGTTGATTTCCGTGACATCCTGGCACGTTTTAAAATCCAGCTGGCTGGCAGAAAGTGTAGCATACTTTGCCGGGTGTGAAGTGTCCCCAGGGCGTTATAAATTTATACCCATTGGCAGGGGAGTAGGGCGATGGATTGGAAGAGGGCGGAGGAGAGGCCAGGAAACTCTGGCAATGACTCGACGGAATTTTTCAATTGTTATTTCATCTGCCATGTGCGGCCAGTCAGTCAAGTGGCGAACCGAACCGAACGCAATGGTTTAGCATTCCGGACGGTCATGGCCTGCGGCTTGATGGCCACAAAACCAAATAACCGAAAACCAAAAACAGGGAACTCAGAACCGTGAATCGGGCAGAGGCGTTAATTGAAATCCGGCTTAGGAACCGAATCGCCGGTTAACCCGAGGCGCCCCCAAATCGGACATCATGCAGCCATTAAACAATAACACTTTCAGCCGACCACACATGGTCCAAACTACACACACACTCGCACACTCGCACACACGTGCAAACAGGAGAGTCCTTTAACATTTCGCTGGATGATTTGTGGTGCAATAAAGAATGCCATTTAATACCGGGCCCAGCTCTTTAACCTTTTCGAACCCGAACCCAAACCCGATTCCAAACCAGTATCGTATTGAATCGAAAAACGAGAAACGGGGAATTGGCAAGCGCCAAAACTAACAAGCTCATTCTCAATTTATATTAAATCGAAAGTCCACAAATGGTTCAGCTGACCCCAAAAACAACAATGGGGTCATCCACAGATATACGCACACGTACACGCATTTATATACATTTATTCAGTGGCGTATGGCGCGGGGGTGTTTTTTTGGATTAATACTACATTGATCTAGGGTTTTCATATTGCTTGATATATGTGTTTAATTAAAGTTCTTTTGTGATTTATTAACGATTTTAAGGTGTCAATAGGTGAATTCTTAGTTTGAATATGATAAATACAGAGAAGAACCATTTAATATAAAATATTTTTAGTGCTCCTTTATATTGATTAGGAACCACTTAAAAAAAACATATAAATAAGGGTTTTTTAATAGATAGATGCAGAAGTTAACCATTTAATATAAAATATTTTCAGAGCTTCTTTATATTCTTTAGGAACCACTTTAAAAAATATATAAATGAGGTTTTGTTAATAATAAATAAATATCATTACACCTTCCTTTGTAACCAATCTAATTATAATCATACTTAGTTTTCTAAAACCCCTTTCCGATACGCCACTGTGTACATGTAATATACGTAGTATACTTATAGAGCGGGGTAATCTTATCGTGCAGCAAGCCTTTTTCCGCTTGGCTAGGGATGGGCACTGATGGGTTAAAAGGGGGCCCATATCACCCAGTTGTATATGTGTGTGTGTCTCTCTCCATCTGTGTGTTTGTGCGTCTCTCTCACTCTCACTATCCCTCACCCCCTCTCTCTATCTCTTTCTCTCTCTTTGCCAATCTATTTCTATCGAATTCTCTGACTATTGCCTCCTCGAAAACATTACAAAACAAATTAAGTCAAACAAAATGAATACAAAACAAAAATATGTTAAACAAAATAAATAAACCACAAATAAAAGTACAAAAGAAAACAGCCAAAAAAAGAAACAAAAAAAAAATGAAATACTTTCGAAACTCGTTTAGGAAATCGCGTATCGGAGATGGAGCTTCAGATCCAGATTCCGATTGGTAAGTTTATTCTCTTGCGTTCCTTATGATTTCTCGGTTTTGTCTCTGCACACCAATACAAATACAAATACAAATACAATTACAAATACAAATACAGATACAGATAGTACACACACATACGCATAGCTTTGTTCTGCTTTTGATTTGATTATGATTGTGATTATGATGATGATGGTCATGCTGTTGATGATGATGATAATGACGATGATCGGCATGTGCGCGCTTTGCATTTGAATAGGCCGCAAACCAGCAAGATATATAAACCATATATACATATATAGATACCATATATATAGAGTAGGGTTTTGGCGTTTGCGAAGAGCCGAGGTCCAAAACCGCAGCTGCATCACACCACACAGACACTGGGCCGCAGGTCCGGCACCAGTTACACCCTGTAAAAAGCCACAGACTTTGGGTGGGGGGATATGAGATATATACACCCACCCCACACACACACCATCCACAAACATCCACAAACAACCACACACACCCACACACTGACGGCAACCACACCTATAGCTATCATTGTTTTCCTTTGATTTGTCTTTCGTTTAGCTAACTGCATTGCTACCAAATCGCTTTCGTTTTTCGAACCTCATCGTGTACCACACGACGTATGCGTAATAATTTAGCCACCGCTGTAAATAGACCAATGAAAACTAGCTAAATCAAAATAAACAAAAATCGAACCAAAAAAAAAAAATGAAAACAAACAAAAATACCGAAATTAAAACAAAGCAAATCCTAAACGAAACCAAAAAAAAAACAAAACATTTATTCCGTAGAATGGCATTTCTCTATGCTGAATGCGAATAATAATTGTGCATAAATTAAGCCCAACCAAAAATCAATTACGCATCAGCAACACCCCCCAAAAATCGAACTGTACATACGCAATGTATATATATATTATATAGACACATCCATTGTGTACATCATGCAAATAAACACCTAGTACTAGATGCTATAGCAGAACAGACGATTGAATGGCGACCCTGAGCGGCTTGAGCAAAAGTTTAAAGTGGTAAAACCTGATTCCCCTCCCCGGATTCCCCACGTCCCCGCAAAACACCCCCCCCCCCCCCCCACGTAGTCGTACGATAGTCCTAGATCGAGTTCGTATATACTCGTAGTGCGTAGCTATACTCTGGCAAATTCGGGAATGATAAAGAATAGGTTTAAACTGTTCGGCGGTCCGCTTCTCCGTTCTTTTTTGTTAAATTACCCAAAATAACAATCGTTATTGATTGATGACGCTTCAGCTCTTTAAGCTTTATAAATGATTTCCAGACATTAATGTGATTAATGTGTGTTTTGTTTCCGGGGGAATGCAAACACTAAAATGCCACTGGCGATTTTAAATCACTTGTTTAGTTGCCTGAGAGTATGCAATGATACATTTTATTTCGATTGTCCGCCAAACGGTGTGGGGTAATTTTTCACTGCATACTTTTTGGCACCTAAAAAAAGGTTTAATGTATTTGCGGTTTTAAATTTAAATTTAAAAACTAAGATTAGTAAACTTTTATCCGGCATTATTTCGGCAAAAGCCTGAGATGTTTCTTAGCCGATTTGAATAATTTATTTATAGTCCATCAACTTTGCCAGAGTACCCTAAGCTTCGGATTGCCGGAGAAAAAACCGTACTTTTCGTTTCTTTTAATTTCTTTTTAATTGTGAGAAACTTTTCAGTTTCGCCGAGAAAAGCTCACCTGGCAGACAATTTAACACTTTTCGCCCGAGGCCAAGAGCTATTTATATCGATGGCAAAAATTTTCTTGGCCACTTGGACCCCGCTTCCTCGCTTCCACTTCCTCACTTCCGCTACCTCACTCACTCTCACTCTCTCTTTTTCGCTCTGTCTGTCTCTGTCTCGCTGCGCTGCTCTACTGCTGCTGCTAAAAACTGTTTTCCAATTGCAATTTTCCTCATTTCTTCTCGATTGCATAACGCCTATGATTGTTATTTCGTTTGATTACATTTGATTCGATTCGATTTGAGATGATTTCGTTTGCGACTCGAACACATCTTTCGTTTGTAGACCAGATATCTGTGACTAAAACCATATCCCCATGCCCAAATATGTATCAATATCTATCTATATCAATATACTTTTTGCATGCACAAATACCTCATCTATTTCTCTCTCTGTCTGTCTCTCTCTATCCCCTCGTGTTGCGTTTGTGCGTTTCCGTTTCCGTTTCACCTTAATGTTAGCGTTACCGTTACCGTTGCGTGCGTTTGCGTTACGGTCTTTTGGGTTCTCCTATGAATGTTTGTCTTGCCACTAAGTATGCGTAACCATAGCCGTAATCCGTAATATGTTACCCGTAACCTGTAACCCGTAACCTGTAACCCGTAGCCATACTACTTCGTCATCACCAACTAGCGTAAGTGTTTGATGTTTCGTGTTACGTAAGTGATTACGCTCTAAAAACGTAAATAATAAAGAAAACGCACCCCAGTAACGTGAGCGCACGCTTAGTTGGAATGATCTTTTCAGTTGCGCTCTAGTCCCCTTAAGACCCCCATTTTAAAACCCTTTAAAGTAGTCATTAGCTATCGTAGTTCGTTGTGTGAGACAATCCCTTTGCAAACGCCTTATGTTAGATATCCTCAACTAACTTGTTTCCATCTAATGCGAAAACAGGACACGATCGAACCAGCGCTGGATGAAGCTGCGCACCACCGTGCAGATCTCATCGGCGATACAGAAGAAACCACCGCTCAAACGCGAAGATTCCTTCCTGAAGCGTTTCTCGACAAGACAGATACCCGAAACACAGGTAGGTGGTTATAAATGGTATCTGGAGATTCGAGATCCCTTATTTCAGTTCGGAACACCCAGATTATATTTAGTTATAATTGCTTTATTATAGTTGATTAAAAGTAAGATAACTAAATTTAATAGATACATATGTATCATATCAAATAGTATAAATACATAAAGCATGCAATGAGAAATAATAGGTGGTATTGATATATCTGGATTTAAGAAATTAACAAGTGTCTAAAAGTATGCAATATGCAAGCAAATTCTGAAATACAAAAATTTGTTGCATACTTTTAGAAACCTTCATATAAAAGTCTATTATAATCGATTTCAATAATAAAAAAAAATATAGATAGTTGGATAATAACCAACATTATAAAATAATACATTATTTTAAATTATTTCATTGCCTAGTCTCAAGCATTCTGAGTATATACGATTATCATATATCATGTTATTTATTATCAATTACCCAGGAAACTGTTGAAGATACGGGTTCAGAAAGTGCCTCTGGTGACGTCGACAAGAGTGTTAAGCGACGACGACGCTATCTGCAGAAACGACGATCTGTTGTTAATCCAGATGAAAATTTTTACTTCTATTGGTTAATGATGTTAACTGTATGTGTTCTATATAATCTATGGACCCTAATTGTGAGGCAGAGCTTTCCTGAACTGCAGGTGAGTTTTCCGCTGCGTTTTCTTTCATTTTCCTTCCTTTTCTTTTTTTTTGTTTATAACCAGCTATTTTTGTTCGTCCCCTACAATGTACACCTTCCACTTGCCATTTACCACTTCCCATTTGCCCTTCAGAAGCGAAGCGGTCAGGCCTTTTGTTCGTCCTTTGTGTAAGGCGACACCCTTTTGCCATTATGCCCAAAGAGTTCGGGATGTAATGGAAGTTGGGCGCCATATAATGAACCTCTGACTGGGCATAGCACCATTTTTAGGGGGCCTTCACAGAGAGGGGGAAATAGCATCTGGGGGTCACCTGTCCAAAAAAGTGCTCCCTTTTTTTTTATCTGTTTGCTCCCCTTCTTTGCCTTGTAATGACTCAATTATAAGACACGCAGGCTGGCCTGGGCAAATGTTTGCTTATGGCCCTGTTAGCTGGTGTTTGTCATCAGATTAGAACTGGCTACGGTTGGGTAAACAAAGTCGACTGTGGTGACCTTTAACCCGGCCACAAAAGCCTGTAGTTGAGGCCGCAATTCCCATCCCGTTTCTAGCCCGCACATTTGCAATTGTCAACTGCATTCCCGTTTTAATTGCCCTTGACCTGGCCATAAAAATAGGCGCACAGGCTGCCTGGAAAGGCCTTTTTCACTTAATGTGACTTTCTGTTTTACACAGAAAAGAAGGTGGACTAATGTTGATATAATAATGGTTAGGCATGTTGATTTTGGCTTGGAAAGTCTTCAGAGCTTTAGTTATTTGATATATTTTATGGTCTTGCATTATCCAATAGATTTAAAACATACATTTTATATTTAACAAACTACATTCTGTATTTTTCTGTGTATTTTATGTTATATTTTCGTATAGCAAGCTGTGCCCACGTTTTGGCTCATCTGCGATTCGATGACAGATGTTGTATTTATCTTAGATATAATAGTTCAATTACGCACAGGCTATCTGGAGCAGGGCCTAATGGTGAGTACTGAATGGGGTAATACCCGGACTTGTACTTATTTTCAATCCCTTAGGTATACGATGACAGGAAGCTGGCCTGCCACTATGTTCACTCGCGCGACTTTATCTTCGATATGATAGCGCTGATACCATTGGATTTGCTGCAGCTCAAGATGGGCACACATCCGCTCTTGCGTTTTACGCGCTTTTTTAAAGTCAGTAATTTGCGAATTGAGATTATCAATATGGGTCTTAATTTGCCGCACTTTGCCCTTTGCAGGTTTATCGATCTGTGAGATTTTATTACATCGTAGAAAGTAGAACAGTTTGGCCAAATTTATGGCGCGTTGTTAACCTAATTCATATCCTGTTAATACTGGCACACTGGTTCGGTTGTTTCTATTTTTTACTTTCCGAGGCGGAGGGTTTTCAGGTAAAGAAAATATTTTAACTAATGCATATATATATTTTAAAGTATTAAATTAAGAATTGAAAAAACCTTTTTATATAAGTATATTATTACTATTTAACATTTTAGAAGGATCTATTTTTTAGGATATAAATACTGTTTTTCTTATTAAATTTGCTTAATTTTTTGTTAAATTCATTTAATAACTTTCTTTATTAAATTTAAAATAATGAAATAAAACTGTAGAGATTGTTTTCGTTCATCTTTAAAAATATATTTAAATGCTTCGGACTTCGAAATCTCTTATAAAGGTGTTCTAAAGTATGCCACAATATATTTATAATAGAGAAGTTATATGGATTCAAATGCGACTTTTCTTTCGGGTTTTTCAATCGTAGTTTTGCCAAATACAGCTAAAATACCGAGTGTTTTGAGCAGCTCGCTAGATATGCTAACGATCCCTATCACTTTAACGAAAATTTATTTTTTGACCAAATTTTTGAATTTTTTGTAAGGGGGTACATCACTTTTTTTGCGAAAATTGCCATAAATGGAAAATTTTCAGGTTTGAATGCCAATCGATTGGAAATTAAACAACGAGCTCAACGAGGTATGTCATTCCTCATTCTGACTTTTATTTTTAACATGGCAGTCAAAAAACTGAATTTTATGGCGAAAAAATAGGATTACGATTTTAGTCAAAAATAGGATAATCCGATTTCAGTCAAAAAATGCGACATTTCTTTCCGGTTTTTCAATCGTAGTTTAGCCAAATCAAGGAGTACAGCTTAAAGACCGACTGTTCTGAGCACCTTGCTAGATAGGCTAACAATCTCTATAACTTTAAGAAAAAATTATTTTTTGACCAATTTTAGCATTTTTTGTTGGGGTTGCATCACTTTTTTTTGCGAAAAATAGCAAAAATGAAAAATTTTCAGGTTTGAATGCAAATTGATTGCAAATTAAGCAACGAGCTCAACGAGGTATGTCATTCCTCATTCTGACTTTTATTTTTAACATGGCAGACAAAAAACTGAATTTTTAGGGCGAAAAAATAGTATTCAGATTTTGGTCAAAAATAGAATATTCAGATTTTAGTGAGAAATGCGACATTTTTTTTTGGTTTTTCAATCGTAGTTTAGCCAAATCAAGGAGTACAGCTAAAAGACCGACTGTTTTGAGCAGCTTGCTAAATATGCTAACGATCCCAATCACTTCAAGGAAAATTTATTTTTTGACCAAATTTTTCATTTTTTGTAAGTAATGTCATCACTTTATTGCGAAAATTGGCAAAAATGGAAAATTTCCAGATTTGAATGCCAATCGATTGGAAATTAAACAACGAGCTCAACGAGGTATGACATTCCTCATTCTGACTTTTATTTTTAACATGGCAGCCAAAAAACTGAATTTTTAGGCCGAAAAAATAGTATTCAAATTTTTGTCAAAAATAGGATATTCAGAATTTAGTCAAAAATGCGACATGTTTTTTTTGGTTTTTCAATCATAGTTTAGCCAAATCAAAGAGTATAGCTAAAAGACCGAGTGCTTTGAGCAGCTTGCTAGATATGCTAACGATCCCTATCACTTTAACGATAACTTATTTTTTGACCAAATTTTTCATTTTTTGTAAGTGTGTACATCACTTTTTTGCGAAAATTGGCATAAATAAAAAATTTAGAGGTTTGAATGCCCGAAGTATAAGTTTAATCCCTAAGTATATTGTAAGTTTAAATTGTAACATCTACAAATTAACTGATATATCCCCCCAATTACCTCCTTGGATCCACAGGGCGATTGGGTCTATCCGTATCGACCCGGGGACTATGCCACCCTGACGCGCAAGTATCTGGGCAGCCTGTACTGGTCGACCCTGACACTGACGACCATTGGGGACCTGCCCACGCCCGAGACGAATGCAGAGTGAGTACGAATGAATATATGTGAATCTTTATGTATACATTGAAAATCTGGGGGCTCTGCTCTTGTCTTCAATTACCATATTACTTACCAATCAGACCGAACTTTTCGGTGGACGGCCCTCGATCAATTCCGAGGCGAGGCATTAAATCGCGCCTGCTTCAATTCGGCTCTAGCTATGGGTACGATCATTACTTAAATCCACCTAACTAAGCAACTAAGCAAGATCAATCAAATTCAGCGAATATCATGCAACTTGTTTGGGGGCTGTCCACCGATTCGTCTGCCTTGGTGTTCCACTTTTATAATTCTCAATCTATCTGTTGCATTCTGCCCCCAATAAGCGTTTGGCATCAAAGTTTTCGAAAGCGTGCGACAGCCTAGAACAGTTTCATTGATATTTGTGTACTTGCCAAAAAGAAAATTTAAATAATTTCAATTTCAATTTATTCAACTCATTATGAGCTTTCGAAAACTTTGATTGAGCTTGCAAAAAGTGTAGAAAAAAGAGAAAATGAGTGGTTCAATGATAGAATATGGGCTCAACAATAATCAATTTGTAAATATTGAGAGATTTGAAAAATTTTTGCAATTTGTAAGGAGTATTAAACTATTTTTAATGTGTTTTTTAAAGTTTTGAAAAAATAAAAATAATATTTTTTGCTCAAACAATTTCTAACTTACCTTATATATAACTTATTTGGACAACATTTCAAAAATTCGATAATGTATCTTAAGTGTTTTAAGAAAAAGCCTCTCTAATTGAATTGAACCACCCTCTTTCTCCACGACACTTAGTTCGATTTTGTGCCCTGCTAATTGATTGCCACTCCCCGAATTGCTCCCTTGCAGATATATTTTTACGATCGTTAGCTATTTGATTGGTGTTTTTATCTTCGCCACCATTGTGGGCCAAGTGGGCAATGTGATAACGAACCGAAATGCGAATCGCCTGGAGTTCGAGCGCCTGCTGGATGGGGCCAAGACGTATATGCGGCACCACAAGGTGAGTACGCGGACAAGGACGAGTGTCCTGTCAATTTGGCCAACCCATAACCGTATCCTTGCAGGTGCCCGGGGGGATGAAGCGTCGCGTGCTGCGGTGGTACGACTACAGTTGGTCCCGCGGAAGGATACAGGGCGGCGGTGACATCAATACCGCCTTGGGCCTCCTGCCCGACAAGCTGAAAACCGAATTGGCCTTACATGTCAACCTCAGCGTGCTGAAGAAGGTGACCATTTTCCAAGAGTGCCAGCCCGAGTTCCTTCACGATCTCGTGCTCAAGATGAAGGCCTACATCTTCACGCCGGGCGACTCCATCTGCCGGAAGGGCGAGGTGGCCCGCGAGATGTTCATCATCGCCGATGGCATCCTGGAGGTCCTCAGCGAGACGGGCAAGGTCCTCACCACCATGAAGGCAGGCGATTTTTTTGGCGAGATCGGCATCCTCAATCTGGACGGGCTGAACAAGTGAGTGCATATTTATATGACCCACTGTCTTAAAAGATATTGTTCTAGATACAAATTTAGGATGTTCTGCTAAGTTTGTTATTTTTTAAATATTATCTTGTATATGAAAAAACACTGAAAACTCATTTTATATAATGTCCAGTCTAATTTAATATCATTTGTAATTTTGTCACTGAACATTGCTAGCAAATAACTGATTTTGCTTATCTACACAACATACACTAAAACACTTCTGCCACAGAAAGCATCTAATTATTTTAAATCACTTGTTGAGGTGTCGACTAGTAACTATAACTAATAACTTATTTCACTTCGACACTTTGATGTTAGATAGTGAAAATCTATAAAAACAACTTTAGTTTATTGAAATTTAGGGCAAGCATATATGACAATGTAAAAGCTTTGGCCACTTAACGCCAATCATTTATTGATGTTCTGATTTCAGATTGTTTGCTATGTTATGTTCGAATTATGTACTGAAATGTGCGTTACAATAAATATTTAATTTTAGTCCTAAGGCACTTTAATATGTATGCGTTGTGATTTATAGTACTAATTTGCATCCATTTTTTCCTGTTACAGACGCACGGCGGATGTGAGGTCCGTGGGCTATTCGGAGCTATTCTCCCTGTCCCGCGAGGATGTCCTGGCGGCCATGAAGGACTATCCCGACGCCCAGGAGATCCTGCAGACCCTGGGTCGCAAGCGGCTGATGGAGGTGCGCTGCGTGAACAAGAAGTACGCCAAGGCCCAGAGCGACAAGGAGGCGGCGGCCTATGCGGCGGCCCATCCGCACCACCACCCAGCCCATCACCAGGGTCAGGTGCACCAGAGCGACAGCAGCGAGAACAGTGCCTCCAAGAAGATCGTGGACAAGCTGAAGCACGACGTCAAGGGCTTTCGGAATGTGCTCAAGAAGTCCAGGTGGGTATCCCAAAAAAGTAAATTGATCAGACCACTGAAATGGGTTTGAAAATAACCATTTATTACCATATCAACATTCAACAAGAAGTATTATTCTGAAAATAGAGAATATTTGTGCTAAGGTTATAAACAATTGAATTAAAAATCTCCCTTAATTTTACCACGGTTCCTAGGAAAGCATTTACAAAGGTGTCTAAAAGTATGCAACAATTTATTCTTAAACGAGATTAAGTGTGTGCTAATGTTAAATAAAATTGAATCAAAAATCTCTATTAAATTTACCAAGGTTCCTAGAAAACCACATACAAAAGGTGTCTAGAAGTGTGCACCATTTTTTCCACTACACCATGTCCAAAAGTATGCAACAATTTAGTGCGAAAGACCATGTTCTACTTTTTACAGCAAACCTTTAACACCTTTTGAAGTGACTTCAAGCCCCCTAGTGACTTCTTGACCCTGACTTATACAGCTTCACTTTAAGTTTCTATTAAGGTGTTCTGACAAAGAAATGCGCTTTACTTTCCAACAGGACCTCGCGGAAAAGCGACGAATCCCTAGAGATGCAACCCCTGCACAACACCTCGCCCCGCGGCAGCAAGATCCTGCTGAAGCGCATGTCGCGCGTAAGATCGGACGAAAAGGATGCGGACAGTGCCGAGGCCAAGGACGAGTTGCACGACAAGACGCCCAGCCCCATTGGGGCGGGGCTGCCGCTGCTGCAGCGCCTCCGGCTGCTCAAAGAGAAGCAGGTGAGTTGGCCAGATGCGAAGCCGCCCGCCCCATCACGGCATCACCCACCTGCGGCAGAAGCCACATAGCCACAGTCACAGTCACAACCACCGAGTCACCAGAAACCACACAGCTCTTTTGGTTTTTCCTTTGGTTCTTTCACCCACTTCCAACCACTTCACCTTTTGCTCGACTTTTGTTTCCAGCCAGAGCCACACCCACATTTCACCCGCATTCCACCCACATTTCACCCACAAGGCTTTAAATGGTTTTTCGCCACAAGCAGACAAACAAAACAGAGCATTGAATGAAGAGCTTGACAAATGGTAAAACAAACCAAACACGCCCACAAAAACACAAACAGCCTAATGGAAAACAGTGTGAAGCCTGTTGTATCTGAGATACTGATTTCTTATAGTCAACATCTAACCACCCACACTTGCATACATATGTGTACATTGTTTCGATTCCATATTGTAATGCAGTTTGTACAAGTTGTTAGTGCACCTTCAGATCCACCCAGAATAAATGTGGTAGTTCCAAAAAGATCTTCATCATTGCAATTGAGCACGTTACGCAATTAAGGCTTTAGCTGGCTGTGGAAAGCAAGTCAATGAAAAAGAAGGCAGGAAAATCTGTTTTCCAATTTATAATACATTTTCTTTCTAGCCCTCTTATAGAAGAAAATATGTGACCCAAGACAACTATGGTTTAATATACTTTATTATATGTAATCGTTTCCGAATTTTGTACATATCCATTGGCAACTCAATACATTTGAACCTGTACCTATGTATTTCGAAGAAATCTCTTTAAAATACAATCTTTATCTTAACTAACAATCTGTTAAATATTTTTAGGGAAAGATATACCATAGAAGGGCCCATAAATTGCCTGTTCTGTAATTGTAACTAACTCGAGCTTATCTAGACGCTTTCAATAGTCCCCTGCTTCCGCTTAGAAAACAAAAATATATTCCTAACTTTTGATTTACAAATGGTACATACATTCTGTGAGATACGAATTGAGTAACAGGAAACCAAACAGAATACAGAGGACACTATCGCTGACATTGCCCACTTAAATCATGATTTCTTTTGCATTTATCGTTTTACTTTGGTTTAGCTTCCGAAATGATTAACGCCCGATCCAGAAATTCGTGTTGTATGTAATTATCCCCAGCTCCTAAACAGTAGTTTTGTATGTGTCTTTATGTGTCTTGCACTAGGATCGCGAAGAGCGAGCTGTTAAGTCCACACCACCACAGAAATCTCCACCTCACTCACATGTAACGTGTACGTTATCGCCGCAGGAATCGATCCAGGAGGAGCCCGAACGCGAGTTCAGCGAAGGCTTTCCCCTGATCCAGCGACTGCAGCAGTTGAAAATTAAGAACGAGCCGCAGGCAAACGCCGCCGAACCCGGCGTCGTCATGGTAAAGCAAAAACAAAACAAAATAATACGAAATACCCAGATATAGGAAATGAGACCCAGAGATCTATATCTCCCGAACACATGCAGGTCTTTAACTTCCCATAACCCACTTGGGAAATATCGTTTACTTTACAAAACTTAGTTTAACCGGAGCATTACCAATTAACCTCCCGCTAACTTAAATGTGTGACCTTGAGAAACCCTTAGCAAGCAGATCTTAAACTCTTCACACCCCAATTGGGAATAACCATACTAAGAACTCACCTGACGTTTAGTAAAATCTAGTTAGTTTAGCCCGAGTGTTAAAAATTATCCTCCCGTCAACTTAACTATAACTATTTTACCAACTTTGGCCTAGTTCTTTATATTATATTTTAACCACACAGTCTAGAACTTTTTGATTTAAGACATATAAACAAGAAAAATTCCAGATATATTTTGTTAAACTCTGGAATGAAATATATGTGAGGTTAATGTTATCTGATTAAACAGCTTCACTACTGATTTCTCATTCTCCAGTTAACAGAAATATAAGTAAGACTTAACAGGAGTATGAGAAAAGGACTCACCATTCATTGATATTTGATCTTCTATTAACGGAATCCAACCATCTTTCTTTTCCTAAACTTGCACCTAACCCGATGAATCCAACCAGGTCAACACTCCGCCCAATATCAGCAGCAAGATAGATTCGCATTTTGCAGCCAGTCAGGGAGGAGGATCGGTTCCGGGCTTAAATGGTGGCGGCATCTCGGCGCCGGGACAATCGCTGACGGTGGCTCAGATCAAGCCCATCATGAAGGTGTCGTTCAAGCAGAAGATCCAGCAGTTGCAGGGCGGTGGAGGAGCCAGCAGTTCGCCGGCTCCGAGTACCGGAGCCATAGCCAAGAAGGAGCCACCCAAGTCGCTGGCCCTGGTGGCCAAGCATGCCACATCCGAGGATCCGGTAGCCACAGCTGGACTAGGATTGACAGCTGGCTCTGGCATAGCCACCATATCGAAGAGGGTGGTCAAACCCGTTCACCGGATGGCCACACCCCTGCAGTCCGACACGGATACCGATGGCACGCCCATCAAGCCATGGTCCAAGCTGAAACTGGCCACCCTGATGTCCTCCAGCTATACGAGTTTGACTAACTGCTCACCGGATGATCTGGCCTCGCCGCTGAAGAACTACTCGCTGAGCAACATACCCCAGCAGATGGAGACGCATCCGCGACCACGACACCACAGTGCCAGGAGCAGTGCGAGATCACCAAGGCACGGCCATGGACATGGGCATCATCACCATCACCACCATCAGGGGCAGGGACTGGGTCAGGGGCCAAGCTCCACCAGCACAACGGGCTCGTCGGCTGGCCAAGTGAACCAGTTGGCCAGCGCTGCCGCCAAGAGGGATTGCCTGCGTCTCCAGAAGCCGGAGCAGCACCTGCCCGATGGCGAACTGACCGAACTGGGCGGCAATGGACGCAGGAAGCTCTACCAGAGCGTCTTCGATCTCTCCCCGGAATATTGCGGTCTGCCGTTTGTCAAGCGGCTGAAGATTCTCAACGAACGCCAAAAGTTGGCCGAACTGGAGAGGGCGCTCCAGACACGCAGCTTTAGCCTGGACTGTTCCAAATCCGGGCCGGATAGCAAGGTGCCCATCACGGAGTCGCTGTATCGCTGCTACAGCGACACTTCCGGCATCTATTCGCAGTTCCTCAGCACTTACGAGTCGACCACCAGCTCCACATCGATATCCACCAATACTTCCGCTTCCGCATCGGCATCCGCCTCCGCTTCCGCATCCGCTTCGGATAGCAACTCTCGTCAGTTGCAGTATGTACCCCTGCCATTAAGTCCCGAATCCAATGAGACCATGGAGCGTCGCAAGCTGAAGAGTATACTCAAGAAGCTACAGATGGGCGGTGGTCAGGAGGAGGAGGCGGGTTCAAAGGTCAACGCCAGTGGTGGCACCACCCAAAAGGGCCAGGGCCTGCCGGCGGAGCCGACCTTGGAAGGGTACGTGGCTAGGCACAGTAAGCTCTTGAAGAGTGTAACCTTCCATTCCACTCTTTCCAGCCCGCCCGCCAGTGCCAAGGAGGAGGTGGAATCTCCCTTCGGCGGTGCTGCGGCGATCGGTTCGGTTAATAATAATAGTAATGGTTGCGGTACGGGTAACGGTAGCGGTAACGGTACGGGCGCAAGTATGGCTTCGATTAACGATAACAGTGCCAATTCGAGCAATTCGATATCGCGTCCGAACAACAGTGCGTATGCGTGTCCTCCACCGGCGGTGGCATTTCCGTTTCCGGTGCCAGCACCGGTCTCAGTTCCAATTGCTCCTGCATCCGGTGCAGTTCCACTTCCGCTGGGATCGGAGGCGGCGAATGTCTGGTCGCCGACGTTGACGTTGGTAACGCCCACGAATTCGCCGCAGGAGAGCTTCGCGTTTCCCGCCCAGCTTCAAAGGGAGGGGGAGTTGGGCGGCCACGGAAACGGAAACGGGCGCGGACTCGTTGGTGGCGTTGGCAGCGCCTCAGCGGTTGGAGCCTCGGCATCCGCGTCCGCATCCGCCTCGTATGTCGTCGAGTGCTCATCGTCGTCGAATCAGATCCTCCATGCCCAGTCCACCACTGATTTGAATTTGAATTTGCAGCTCAGGCAGAACACGACCAGTGCGACCATGGGTGGAACGGGTCAAGGGCCCCGGCTCGAAGGTAAATATATCAGCTTCAGATCGAGTTCATATATAGTAACCAGATCGAGAGCAGAAACCACAAACAGAACCAGAACAAGAGCAATGCCATGCAACGCTTGACACCACACAGATGTTATTCTGTTAAAAAAACACACCATCACTATGTAACTCTATCTCTCTCTCTCTATTTGAACATATTTCTATAAACACACACACACACTTGCGCATGCGAGTCACCCATACTCGTACAATAAGAACTTTCTCTCGCTTTGTCATGCTTTCTCTAACACTCCTTCGACCTATTCGTCTAACCTTCTTCTTATGCCACCGCTTTGATCTCAACCTAACCAAACTCGCATGATTGAAACGCTTTACATAAACTGTAAAAATACCCCTAGAAACTTATAAACTTTGTAATACCCAATTTACCTTTGATACAGGACTCTTTAACGAAATATACAATTTTTGATATATTATTTCGGCATTGCATTTCAACTACTTTTTATCTCATATGTCCATGATCTATAAATATTCTACTATTATATATTCATAGTCATATAAAATTTGTGAAAGTATTTTCTGTTTGCCTTTTTAAAAAGTTTGTACATTTATTTATACTACCAAATATTCAACTGCTATAAGTCCTTATAACATCTTAAAGACTTTTCTTCTCAAAGTCATGTTCCCGTAAAACATACACATGAAAAACTTTTACTTTTTCTTTGAAAGGGTCTGTAAAATATATCGTTAAGAGTCTTTGGTAATTCTCCCACAGAGTTTTTATGAACCTGCATTTTAACCCACACCTTCTCAAGGTTTTACCCAAAAATCAAAAAAGCTCAAGTCCACAAAAGTAAATTATAATCTTTGTTAAAAACACGGAATGTGCGTAGATCGGAGAAGTTTTTCAGCTGATGTGCGGAAGTACAGTCACGCACGCTTTGGGAACAAAATGGAATGAAACAGCCGCCATGATGGATGCTTAAGTCTCTAAGAGCATGTAACCAAACCAGCACAGAACACACAGCAACACCTTGCCTATGCTTTTGTACATATATATAAATAATGAACCCCCAATGAATACAATCGTGTAAATATGCGATTACTATAAAGAGACCTGAGCTGAGCTTTTGACGGAGCCGGTACAACACTTGTATGGTAATGGTAATGGTAATGATAATGGGAATGAGAATGCGTGGCGTTTGTAAATAATTGTCGACGATGTACGTATGTATTAATGTCAATGCAAATGGTACTACATATATTTCTGATCCCTACTTTGTCTGTCCTTTCGTAAATATTAAAGCTAAGCTCCCGTCACCCAAAATCTATACATTTGCATTGGTATTTCGAGCTTCGTTTCTCGAAGTCAACTGTACTTGATAGTTAAAGCTGACACGTAACTGAATCAGAGTACTAAAATAAGTATGTAGTGCTAAAAACGCTTTAACACCCACAGCCTGATTTGATGTAGTAAAACTCTGGAAAATACTGTTGAATGTCCTCTCACCCAAAATGCAAAACTCACCTTCGCCAGACACAAAGTACCCTTCTCTGTATTTCCGTTCATATTCACTGTTCCACGTACTCACAACGATGTGTGATCTTGCACTTAAAGGCTTCCCGGAGGCTCAGGACTACTTCAATCAAATCCTGAGCGGCATCAATCACGTGATCAAGACGCACATGAACGAGATGCACTCCAAGTTCGAGACGCAGTTCTCCAGCATGGCGGGCGAGGTGCAACGCCGCGACGCAATCATTGCACAGCTGCAGCTCAAGCTGCGCTCCATAGAGGGCAAGTCCACGGGCCCAGTGGCATCCACTTCCGCATCCTCATCCGCCTTGGTCCTGCCACTTAGCAGGCGACAGAAGCGCGAGAAGATGTCCCAGCTGTCGGTGGACGACGATGAACCGCCCGAGGAGGACAACAGCAGTTCGGGATCTTCAGCGGAGCTTCTGTTTATGGTGAGTTAGGGTTAATAATAACATACAACTGAAAATTTTTTGTAGCCTTGTGCTTTTTTCAAAGCAAACAGATATTTAATAATAATGTAAAGTTTACATTGCAAACAATAGGTTTTTCACACAACTGAGGTAGGTGTAGTAGAAAGAGGTACTTATCAAGAAAGACATAGGAACTCTATACCTTATAGGTAATGTACTCACCAGAGTAGATAGGGACAGTAGATAACAAAAATTGGCTGGTTTCCTTCCTGAAAGAGAAAAAACTAAAAAATGTAGGTAGGGGTAACAGGATGAAAAGCACCTATAGTACCTCACATGTATTATACTCAACAAAGTAGATAGGGACAGTTGATAACCGTCTTAACCAAAAATAAAATGCTTACGCTTACGGGTATACGGAGATTGGAAAGATGTTTTACTCAGGGAAATGGATTTCAAATCACATCCATATTTGTCTAAACGTATTCATTAAAATATTTTAAAGTGGAAAGCCCGATTGATTCAATTCACATACCCTGCATACTTTTAGAATCCATAGTACGTTTTTTCAAAAAGCTAGTTTGATTTTCTTATTACTTTGAATTTTTACTAATCCTGTTCCTTGCCTTTCCTTAGCGCGGTGATTCCCTGGACACGGTTTTCACCTCATCGCCGCCCATCCAGGGCGGCAGACGCAGCATATCGCCGGGTCCGAGTCGTCATCATGCGGCCTCGGCGAACGCCCTGAACTGCCCGAGTAGCTACTACGGAGGACCCGGCTCCCTGAGCTCCCGCCACGCCCAAAGCCATCCCAGCTTCTACTCCGGCCAGGGCAATGGACGCAGTGGCCGCAGCAGTGGCTATCGCGAGTGGAGCGGTGGAGCGGACAGCCTGGGCAGCGGGAGCGGATCGAGCAGTGCCGTCATGGTGGCGGATGTTACGGGCAATCTGGCCCGCTTGTCGGACAGCGTAATCCTGGACATTGGCGAGAGCTCCAGCTCGAGCTCCTCTTCCAGCAAGATCAATATAGCCGATGTAGATGACGACGAGGAGGATGAAGAAAATCCAGCGGCCAGGCATCCACGAGAGGAAGAGGATCTGGACGACGACGGCAGTGGTGGAGGCGGCAGATCGGGGAGCCACAACGACTGGGAGGTGCGGATGCTGGCCGCCGAAATGGAGCGACAGGAGCGCAAGCGGGGTCACTCCCTCTCCGACAATCTTGGTGATCTGAAGCACTGCAGCACATTCCTGCGGCGTCGTCGAAAGTTTAGCGATACGGAAACAGAGTTCAGTGAAACGGACATGGAGGAGCAGCTGGCCAGGTCGGGCAGCGGCTCCATGGACCCATCAGGCTCGACAGTTCCATCTGGCTCCGGGGGCGGTGGATCCACATCCACATCCGCGGGTCACCAGAGCGGCAGCCAGCGACCCCGGGCATCCAGCTTGGATCAGTTCAACCTGCGCTACGGCATCGGGCGTGGAATCTTTAAAGCAATGAGCATTGACCGTGATAAAGACAAGCTTTGAGAACTATAATCACAACCAAATCGAAATCCAAACCCAACCAGATCCCGATTCCCATCCCAATCGCAGCCAGAAGCAAGTTAAACGGCGGACAACCAATAAGCAATGGAATTTGGACAGTATTACCATGGTACAAGAACTAGGTATATGATATGATATATGATATACAAAACTAAGGATATGTGAGGACATATAGATCTATATTCTATATATGTTTAGCCCTAACGAAACCCCCCAGCAAAAAATCGATATATATACAGATATACACGAATAAAGTAAAACCCGAATGAGATATATATATACATAAAACAAATGTAGAATTAACGGAAACAACAACTACTACTAAAAACAGAGAAACAACACACAAATAGCCAGAGAGTGTTCCCAGCCCTGTTCCAATTATGATTGTTTTCGCTTTGTCCTAATCATTATCCATATTGAATGCCCATGCGAAGATGAATAATTTTTAACTAGAGGTTATTTTAGGAAGCTTAAGAGATTTTTGTCCTTATGGAATTTATTACCGTTCGGTAAACTTCATAAGTTTTTGAATATCAACATAAAATTCGTAACTTAATTAAGGTTATTGTTTTATTTTGAAATTGTAAGTAATTATTTACTTTAATTCATTCTTAAAAAATGTATTACCCTTCGGTTAAAGTCATGAGTGTGTGAATAACTACTTAGAAAAGTTATTGAATTAATTATGGTTTCGGTTAGTTATCTCAGCTGTTAGTTTTTATTATAATGTTAGTAATATTCCCTGTTCCGATTAAATTTAGCAAGGAAACTGAATCTGCCGATTTTAATGGCCTTTCGCATATTTTTTATCAAAATTTTTAAAAATTTGTGTGGCTCCATAAAAGAGTGTTGTGTGTGTGTGCCAGAAACAAGAACGAGATAAGATAATTCCCACATTAAACCGTCCTAGAAAACGTCCATGCCACGATGTGCATGTTTGTTCTTTTTGTATGAATCTGTATCTGAAACTGCAAGCCAAATCTGCATTTTTGTATCTGTATCCGCATCCCAATCATCTCGATCTGAACCCAAATCGGAATATTGATTAGTTGCTCGTTTAGTTCGTGGACGACGGGGGCCTGGGTCTCTCTACAGATGTATATACCTCTTATTGTTAGAGACTATGGAACATATATATACATATATATTTTAAGTACGTACATATATACACAGAAATATACATAGTTATATATCTATATATGAACTAGTGTAATGAAAACCGAAAGCTTTAATAACTTATATAGAAAACTATTTAAGAAACATTTTAAATACTAATCGATTCGGACAAATGTTTTGAAATAGAACAGGCCAACCCATTTCAAAAACAAACAAACAAACAGCACACCAAACACATACACAAGTCATACACCTGCATACGAATATCTAAATATAGAGCCTATTATATGCATAGATTAGCGATTTACTTGTTGAACACCCTCGGTTCGAGCTGTTAAGCCTATCTAAGCGTTAGTCGAACCTATCGAAAATTTAGACTAGCCCCCTTGACCCTTCAAGCCCCAAAGCCCCAACGCCCCTGCATCCATTCGGTTTCGTTCACCTGATCTCACGCTTGCCCTCTGACCTCTTCCTTCTAACCCTCCACTAACTAGAGACACTATCTCGCTATAAGAAGAGCAACTCTAGCACTTAAGTAGATTAGTGCAGTTCAAGATCTATTTCGAAACCGAATCGAGTCTATCGCACCGCCCCCGAAATAAAGAATATGTATCTGAAGACTACATATGTAGGCAAGGAACATGATTGTTGATTGTTGTTGATTTTTGATTTGATTTATCGTTGCTCTGAACTAATCGCTTAACTAAAGACAGTTACTAGCCAGGCCCTAGACGCACTCACTAATCAGACGGTAGAGTCCGTAGAGAAAAGTTAGACACCCAACTCTAGAGTTTCGTAGTTTTTACTAGCCCCACAAAAGGGTGCTAGGCTGTACTCTACTCAAGCCACTTACTATCGCTCTGGCTATCTTGGCTATCGATAACTATCGTACTGTACTAAGCGCACTAAGACACACACACACAAGAGACACAAACACATACAAAGTGAGGAAAGCTGAGGAAGTTATGCCCAAAGATGTTAGATCTATCCAAGAAAATGTTTCTCAGGTGGGGAAACATACAAATTTGCGATGAGCTTAACTAGAAATCAATCCTTATCGATGGTTCTCCTTAGAAACATCGATAAGTAGCGATTGTTATTTAAAGGCATCACTGTTTCAAGGGAAAAGCTATTTTTCATCAATGTAGAACTGTTATTTAATTAAATTTTTTTTTTAATTATATCCTAAAAGGAAAACAATTTGTACGACTTCTCATTAAATTACATTTTTTTATTATATATGTTGCTATCAAACCCTAGAATTATTTGCCCAGAAATAAATATTTTTCAAAAAAACATTTTCAAATAGTTGTGTAGCATTGATGAAACATAGCTTTTCCCCTTTAAAGTAAATTTCTCCACCAACTAGTCCACATCTGAAATTCAAGGAACCAGGAATTCTCAAGGAATTCTCAAACTACGAACATAAAATTACACAAAATGCAACAACTTAAATGGGTCACAGCCAGCTAAGCAGTCCAACTAAATGTAATAAGACAAACGACAAGCACAACACTTATGTAATTCAAAACACAGCCAGAAAAAATGGAGCAGAAGTAACTCTATAAGATTTTGATTTAGTCGTTTATTGGGTTCCCTTGTTGAAGAGGCCAAGTTTGAAAGCCAAGGAAAACCATTTAAATTGAATTACATACGCCAGGGACCACAAAATGTTTTTTTGTCTCTTTTTTATGAAAAATAAAAAGAAAAAACGTGTAAACACAAAAGGAAAACCTAGCAAGTTTAATGATAATAATGCCGTAACAGAAAAGTGTTATCGACCAGGAGGTAGCCGTCATATAATCATCGATCGATGTACCCCTTAGCCAGTCACCCATTATATAGGCCTCACTTCCGATCCCCAAAATATATATAATATGAACCCATGTATGTCTAACTGATTTCTTGCGTACCACTCACTCTAGGTTCAATTGTTGTCAGCCAACGAAAAACTCTGTGAGTCAATTATGTATATGGATCATTGTTTTAATCGATTGTTTTTAACGAGATGAGATGAACCGATGACCGATTTTGACCCACTCTGTATTGTACTATATTGCATTGAATACCATACCGCGAATTGTTGTCGTTGTTGATTTTAAATTTTAAATTGCTCGTCCTTAAGTTACCGATATTTTTGTACATTAGTTTAAGGTAGCGCATAATGAGTCCCACGAGTCTAGAGTAAATTCCTATATAAATGTATAAATACATATATTTTTTTTCTCCTAATTGCTAATTTCGCAATGTTGACCGAATACTAAACAGTATGTACTTATAGTGAAATTATACGCAAAAGATAATTTAAACTGAACTAAATGAAAACTAAACCCCAAAGCAAAGAAAAAAAAAACAAACAAAGAAATTAGCACATGTTAAAGAAGCGCAAATAAAAGTGAAATACCTAAGAAAAATACGACAACAAACTTGCCTTCGGTTGCGAGATACTTTGTAGTGTGCCAAATCTACATCATATCAACTTTTACTCACCACAAGGTATGATGTTGCTGCAAAATAATACGAACCCTAAATGAAACCAAGACAAACCGATGCAAGTGAAGTAAAACCCCGTGCAAGCAAGGTGAAATATGAAAGAAAAATCGAAGCAAACAAAACTTATTTGAATAAAAGAAAAAATGAAAAGGAATGTATTTTATTTGGGTGGGTTTTATTTATAGGAAGGAGATTTCAAGGTTTTATATTGCCCCTAACATTTACTTATTATTTCGTTGAAAAACAGTGTTATATCCCATCAGAAAGCATAATCTGTTGACTTTTAAATTCAAATGAAAAAGTAATTTTTATAGTTTCGGAAAGTAAAACATTTATTTTTTAAGGGTTCGGGAAATGGATTCTTAAAAATCGGATATGTAGGTTGGCACACTTTGAAATGTCAATTAAAACTTAAATAAAACAAAACATAACATGTTTAACAAAAATAATAATAATAAATAATAATAATACTTTATAAATTTTAGTTAATTCTTAATTTGTTTCTCCTCCTTTTTTATTGTACTTTGCCCAAATGACAATTTTCCCGTAAATTTAACAATATTTACTTTGATAAAAGCGTCCCCTGCCGGCTGGGCAACGTACTTGGCCAACTTACACGATATATAAGCTTTTGTTTAAAAAAGTAATAGCTTTGTTTCTAACAGTCAAATTTAAATTAAAAATTTTAAATTTTTAAATAATGTTTTTCATTAATATAACATATTTTTAACCTTCAAAATAAATGATGTTATGGATTGTTTTAGACTAAAAAAAAACGTAAGATTTTGTCTTGAGCCTACAATTTAAATACTTTACGTACCAAAAATCATTACATACTTTTACTTAATGTTTAACATGCGGACGATAAAACGGCCTTTAATGGAATATTTTGGAGAGAGTTGACTGTCTCAGGTTAGAGACTTTCCCAACCCATAGACCTCTCCAATATAATTTTCCAGAGATACAAGAAAGTAATGTTACTCCACGGCTTAGCCAAATCTCCTTAGGAAATATTATTCTAAGCAGTGGCGGATACAGAATTTTGTTGTGGAGGGAAATAAAAAAAAAGTGTTGAGTGGAAATACAAAAAATTGGAATAAAATATATATTACTAGTGGGATCTATCCCCTATATAAGCCCCCTCCCCGTGACTTCGCGCATGATTCTAAATTAACTTTGCTTAAAATTTTTTAAATTTGCCCCTGGTCTCCAAAATCAAGTATGATTATAAGATTCTTTTGTTTTTAAAATTAGGTAAGCCATGCTTTAAAAATTTAAACAACAAAAACTTCACGATTTCCTTTGAAGCCGGCTAACTTTAGGTGCTTTAGGGGAGTTCTAATCCTCAAAAAAGTTTCCCAAGAAGTTCTAGGGGCGTTGGCCACCTATGGGGCGTTCGGAGAAGCTCTATGTGGAGCTGCCCCATAGAGGAGATCGGCGCCTGCGCACAGCGCGTTGAAAGCCCCAAAATGTTGCCCAGCTGATGGGGAAAGGGGTTTCTGGCGGAGCTTACGGCTGCGGTGGTGGCAACGCCGCCGAAAAGCTCTCCGTTCATCCCCCGATGGGCGATGCTGATGTTGCCGCAGCTGCTGCTGCTGTGGATTCCACTCAGAAACTCGAGAACTCAGATATTCAGAAATTCTCGGACACGCAGCACACAAATCGCTCCGCATTTTCGTGGCGAGCGGCAACAACGACTGCGCCCCAAAACATTGCGCATACGACGTGTGGGCCGTGTGGCCGTTGCGAGTGGCACAAATAAATAGTTCACATTTCGTTTTTTTTTTCTGCTGCCGTTTTGTTTGTTTGGCCCTGTTGGCTGACCATTGTTGTTGCTGCCGGATTTTGTTTGTTTTTTTTCTGTGATTTTTTTAACGCTGCCAGTGCCAGTGGCAGGGTGTTTGTTTGCTACTCGGTTCCGTTTTCCATGTGTGCTTGGTGTTTTTAAAAGCGTATCTGCCGCGAATGCGAGTCCTGCGAGTCCTGTGAGTCCTGCGACTCCCCCATCATCTATCAGCAGCTCGGAGAATTGCGAACTTTTTGGGTTGACATGTAGCTGGGATTCTGGGCGTGTGTCGGCGGTTGTGTGTACGGCGGGAATCGGAAGGGCCAGGATCCGGAATCGGTATCGGTAAGCATCCCCAGCATTTCAACAGAAAAGCCCCCGAAATTATTTGTTTACATTGAAGAGTGCGAAATAAATGGGAACGTTGATGGGGAAATATGCGGAAAGTACTATCAGCGCTATTCGCATTCGTTCGGCAGACCTATTGTTTATTTGATCTGCAGCCTTCCCCTTCGACTGCCCCTCGATGTGCTTATTTCTGATTCTGATTATTCTGCACATTTGTTTGGCTCTGGTCTCTCGCAATCAAAATGCATATTTATGGGGTCGGTGGAGCGGGGGATGTGAGCTCCCCTTTTTTTTTGGGTGGGGAGGGGGTAAGGGGTGCTTGGTAACCCCCAAGCATTATGTAAACCTGTGGGCTGGGTCCGCGTTTCACCTGCGATGCCATCAGCTATTCTGCTGTTCTAGTGTTCTGCGCTAATGTGCGTGGCTTTTGTCTGATTTATGCCGCAAAACAATCAAATTATTGCCAGCCCTCGGCCTCGGCCAACCCCTTTCGTATCGCCCCAAGGCCCCGCATATCTTGCGGTGCCCATTTTTTATGATATTTCTCTATTTCCCTTTTGCGGCTGCCGAGCCATTTCATTATATAGTCGCTTGCATGCACTGAGAAAAATATAAGCTACATAAGAACTGCTACACAGAGAAAAGAGGCAAGGGTTTTGGTTGTTAAAATATTTAAAAAAGTTTTTACTTAAAGTTTTAAAAATGTTTTTTGTTTCTCTATTTTCAATATTTAAGAATTATATGTCTTTTGTATTATCGAAAACAAAATAAAAAAGTTTCCGAAAGTAAATAATAAAGACTTAAACTATTGTATATTAGAGGTTTGAAATTGCATCCTAACATTATCATCTAATTTATACCACTTTTTGGTACTTTAACAGTTCTAAAATTAATCTATTTTCAATACTTAACAATTATATGTGTTTTGTATTATCAAAAAAAATAAAAGAGTATGTATATTATTGTTTTGAAATTGTTTTCTAACATTAACATCTAATTTATACCACTTTTTGGTATTTTAAGAGTTCTAAAATTAATCTCATCGTAATTGCTTGCTATTTTCTCTCAGTGTACCTTCAGCTTTCCAATTTTTTATACCGCTCTCCTTTTTTCCGCCTTGGGTTTTGTTTTTGTTTGCGTCTTGTTTCGGCGTTGAACTAGTTTTTGGGCCACCACCATTCAGCCCCGTCATCATGGATGGGGTGGGTGGTTCAAGAAGTTCCGGGGTGTTCTGGTGTTCGGTGGTGCTCCGCGTTTCTTCCGGTGGGGTGGAGTATGCCGTATCTTATATCATCATCCAGTGGCTTTTCCGCCGGGATCCACAGGGGTTTTCGGGGCCGGACCAAAGTGTATCGGTGGCTCAAGGCGCAAGGCGTAAGACTCAAGGCTCAGGATCCCAATTCCCATTCCGATTCGAATCCCTTAGGCCAAGGACGAGGACCCTTCGAACGCCCCTCGCCGCCTCTGCCCAGCTGTTGCATAAATTTTCGCATTTAGCTGCTTGTCTTCCGCATGTGTGTGCGTATGGGCCGTGCACGTGTGTGCGTGTGTGTGTGTGTGATGGGGTGTCCTTTTGCGGATTTCGTGAGCGTTTTATGCAGCTCAAGGAATTCCGTTGAAGGCATGACAAGGCTTTTATTCCCCGCGTTCTCTCTTTCCCCCCGCGATGCCCTTTTTTCGAGGGGTATTTAAGGCCTTATTAAGAAGTGTGCTCCAGGATAAGTCTTTTCATATCTGAACAGGTCTAGATTATCCTTTATCGTTGTCTGAAAGGCTTTCTTTTCATAAGACTCTGCATTCAACTGTAATGCAGATGCTGAGATATTTATTTAATAATCTCTTGTGTACCATTATACAGAAAAGGAAAAAAGTTTATAGTTTCTGCATTTCTACACTTGCCAAAATTCTAAAATATATGAATTTCTACCTATTAGATATTATACCATATATATATTTTGATATTTAATAGTTATTTGATTTATTACTATTTATTATTCTGATGTATTCAAGCATAAAAATAGGATAAATATATTTTTTTCAATTCTAAAATGTATTATTATTTTAAACTCCATTATTATGTTATTTTAGTTCTTATCAATATGCTAATATTGGTTCTTATGCTTACCTAGGCTAATAAAAACAGCCCACTTTTCCACCTCTAATGGTTTTGGGCTATGCAATTATTGGCAATCAGTCACCGGATACCTTTATTAATATGGAAGACAAGCTATCAATCATTTGAGGCCCCCGAACATTAAGTAAGAGTATGCTTTTGTCGTGTATCCAGGCGGAAAGGCAGTCCTTCTACTGGCTTCTTTTTTTCTTAATTTTCATTTGCAACCCAAACTTAAGAGCTCCCCGTTTTGCGCTGTTGTCAAGGACTGTCGGATAGTCGAGTTGTCGGGGTTACCAAGTCGGGGGCCAAAATGTGCCCATTTGGGCCAAGTTAGTCAAGTTAGCCAAGTGAGAGAGCTCGCGGAATTCGAATATGGCCTCTGCTCCTCCAGTCCCCGACCATTTGTTTCGTTGTCATAACAAAATCAACAAAACATAAACCGAAATTGATTCCGCTTTTGTCTATCGGCCAGAAGGAGCAGATAATTGGCTTCATTAATGCGAACATGTTCATTTGAATTATTTTTTACATAAACGAGTGCAGAATGCCACCAGCCAAAGCCAATAAACCCGATAATCTCGCTTTCAGTAATGCAAAGACGGCGATATGGCACTACAAGGCTGGCGCTTTTTCGGTGTCTCGGCAACCATCATCATCTACATAGGCGGCGTCCTGTTCCTATCCATGAACAACATACCAGGCTCGCATCCCAAGAGACCGCGCATCGAACGCTTCGCCGAGGTGAGTCACGAATTTTCAATTTAACGCTGAGGCAGCTCTAAAGTGATGTGGCAAATGGCAAGTGGCAAGTGGCATGTGGCGTGCAACATTTGGCATTCCAAGGAAAATGTACGAAAATAGTATCGTAAAATCTATAGTGTGCAGGTGTCCTTAAAAGTACTAGCATTTTCGCCATTAAAGTTTATCGTTGATCGTAATAGCTATCCACAGATTCGTTAGCTTTACTATGACCATTAAAGTGAATCGTTTAGCAATCACATACAATCAAAACTCTATGGCTGACTTTTAACAGACTTACATTGAGTACTTAAAGTTTAAAATGCCTTAAATTAAATCAAATGCCATTTTAAAGAGCTTAAAGAGGTCAATAAAATATATTCATTAAGAAATGTTTTAAAATATGCGAAATATTTAGCAACCTTATAGAACAAAACACAAGGATAAACGTTAGTTACTTACATATTCTACCAAAAATTATAAATCAATATCAGGTAAAAGGCGATTGTTCTTAAATATCTTTCAAACGAGATTACTAAAAGCAGCCAACTAATTTTTCCATTAAAGAGAGTTAATAAAATTTTTGCATTCTAGTAGAAAAAGAGTTTATAAATGAATTCTAACGCCGAATACATATGTATACCTTAAATTATTTTAGTTTGGTATAGGAAATATATAACTACCTATATATCTATAGATATTTCAAGTTATTATTCAAGTTTAATTAAAACCCCCTTCCACTAACTTATTTACTTATTTTCTTTACCCAGTTCCCCAGCTTTCATAGTCCTCGGTTTCCGATGCCCAGCCGCAAGATGACGATACGCTGGTGTCGCGACCTAAAGTACATAAATCGAGATCTTCCAATCTACGCGGACTACAAGGCCGACTTCTACAGTGAGTATGAAGGGGGGAAGGTGTTGTTAAGAGTTGGATATCCTAACCTTTTGACCCATTTCGACCCCTTAGCGGCCCTGCCCAGCGATGTGAGCGCTGCCCTTCAATCCTTGCCAGCTCTGACAGCCCTGGCCAGTTTTCCGGGCAGCGGAAACACCTGGCTGCGCTATCTTCTCCAGCAGTCCACCGGCATTCTTACGGGCAGCATCTACAAGGACTACGGTCTGCTGAAGACCGGCTTTCCGGCGGAGAACGTCTGCAACAGCTCAGTATTACTGGTGAAGACCCACGAGTGGGGCAGCAAGGCGTGGGCCCCCTTCTCGAAAGCAATACTCCTCGTCCGGGATCCGGAGAAGGCCATCATCGCAGAGTTCAATCGCCAGAGTGGCGGTCACATCGGATTCGCCTCGCCGGATCGCTACAAGCGCACCAAGGGAAAATGTACGTTCCGGTTCCATACATTACTGGCATGGGGTCACTAACTAATTAGGTCTAGTTACGACAATTAAGCATTGGAAACTATTAGGCCAGTGCTAGTTCTACTCTTAGTACTTAATATTAAATTCGTTTTGTTTTTGCCGATCTAAGCCTCTGATTCTGAGGTTATCTTCAGTGACAATATTATATTGCATGATCTTGGGATCTTCCAATATGAGTATTAGATGTTCTTATTGGCCCTTCTTATTATCATACTAGTATTGACATTTTTAATTTCAAGTTTTTTTAAGCCCTATCAGCTTGGAAAATATTTAGACTAAGCCAATTTAAAGCCTATCTGAATTTATAAATTTTATTTTTATTTTTATTTCTTAAATAATATCTAGATGGACAACAACCATGAAATATTACATGTTCTCATTTTTCCTTGGTACTCCAAGTTGCTTAAATATCGACATACTACTGGATTTACTTAAAAAAGTTATGGTAACCTTTAGCAAATCTAAATATAACTACAAAAATGCTATGACCTTTTAAAATAAATCCAGTCAGTCAGTCGAAACTTAAGCAAGTGTCATATGACCTTAGTGAGCTTTTGAGGCTGTACCTATTTCCCTCTAGAATAATCGATCTGTGTGTTATTAAAATATTGAATTGCTCTTAATTTCTCATAACAGACTGGCAGCAGTTCGTGAGCAACAAGCTCAAGGGCTGGGAGGTGATGAACCTCAGCTGGGCGCGCAACTTCACGGGCGGCATCAAGGTGGTCTTCTACGACGACCTGGTCCACCACACGGAACGGGAGCTACGCTCGATCCTGGAGTTCCTGCAGTTCCCGGTCAACGAGCAGCTGATGCGGTGCGCCATCATGCGGAAGGAGGGCATCTTCCGGCGGAAGAAGCGGCTGCTGTCCTTCGATCCGTACACGGAGTCCATGAGGGCGGAGGTCCAGAACCGTCGGCGCATCGTCTACGGATTGCTGGGGCGCCAGGAGCCGTAGGATATATGTACCATATATACATCCGATGTATAAGAAAACTGGGCAACGAGAAGGGAAATCGAATTCGTACCACCAACAATACAAAGAAACCGAACAGAAATCACAATTGCAACAACGATGCACAAGGCAAACGGAATTGCAATCGAGAAATACTTCAGCTCATCACGATTTGTAGGACCATAGATCTCACTGGGAGTCTGCATTAGGTAGTAATGGCCCCCATGAATAGTCCCATTTTTCCACCCAAACCGGATTCCCAATCGTTTGCTGCTCGCTTTGGCGCATTAGTTCAAATTTTTTTTGTTTACACACTAGGTATGATATATTTATATTATTATATAGACGCATAACTTTAGGTTGATATATGTTTGTACGTATTTGGTATAGGCTATACAACAAGGTATTATGATTCCTGAACGAATTTATGAAATTCATTATAGGCCATGTTGTGCTTCATCGCTCACCCAACTCAACTCAACTCAACTCATCCGCAACTTATCCTTTGGCCGCGTTGAGCTCCCATATTAGATTATCCTTGTAAAAAGTTTTATACACGACTCTACAATAACTTGTGAAATATTAACAATGGAACGTATTAGATAATTGTACAAAAAACGAAAACCAAAAAAAAAAACAAATCGAAAGAGAAACAATGAAGTGGATTTAAAAACTACATATTTATATTTGTTTTACTTTTGGGATGGTAGTTCAACGAGCTTGTAGGATCGAGCTTTAAGCAAGTCCTAAGAGCTTTCGTCCTTTCGTAGCTTTTGGGGAAGGAAAAAGAGAATAAATTAACTTGAAAAAGTTCTGAATCGCTTTTACGAGCTTTCAGGATATCCTCAAAACTTTAAAGCTTCAACTGTATTTCTTGAAAAGCTTTTTTAAACTTTAAGGATACATGTAAAAATCGTTCTTCCGTGTTCGTTTTTAAATTAAAACCAATCCGGTTTCACACATAGATGGCGCCAGGAGGACGAAATTGAAAACTAGAAAGTATCTGTGAAATCAAATTTTTGAAAATGTACTAAAAATAATAAAAATATAATAAAAATAAATGGTGTAAAACAAAAAGAATATAAATGAGTTTTAAACACCTCAATCAAAAGAAACTGTCAGAAATGGATTGTTATGAATTAAATATTTTTGTAAGACATGTACATTTACTCTGACATGATTTATATCAAGGCTACCACACAGGATTTCAAGACTAAACAAATAGATTTAGAAATATAAGATCCATCTTCTTTCAATCCTTAAAATTGTTCATTTGAGAATTCTAATTCGATAATTTAACGCGTATTACAATCAGATAAAAATATATTTCTTTACAATTATATTTTATTAGGAATTCACCTGCAGTCAAGATTTGATAATTTAATTCAGTAACAATCAGATTAGTTGTGCATATCAAGAAAAAATCTCAAGCTAGCTATATATAAATTATACAAAATATGTTAAATATATTTTTATAATCAACTAAAATTATAGCTTAAAAATATATTTTTTTCAACTGATAAATGGTTTTAAAGCGATTAGAAAACAACATGTCCTGTATTTTTATTTTTAATAACAAAATATGTTTAGAGAGGTAGTACCGTATTAATTATAATAATAATTTCAAAAGTAGAAGTCTACAATTTTTTTTATAATATTATTATATATAAAAGGAAGGTTCTTTACGAGGTACCCTGTAATCGGGGCTAAGGGCCACTGAGATCTGAACACCCTCTATGTGATTTGCCATGCTGCATGCTTTTAACAGTTGCACTGCAACAACTAGGCCTCCGCCAACCCCCCCTTTGGACTGACCCACCTGCTGGCTATCCCTGACCCACCCACCACCTACTCCCCCCCCCCTCTTCCACCCGGCACCCATCCCTACAGCCGCATGAGCCCCACTGACATGTACGCCCATTTTTGTTTTGGCATTGTTGGCCGCCGCGTTGGTGTTTTGTGCCTTTTGTTGAGGCCCAGCCGCCACCCACAGGGCCCCATCGAAAATCGACCAAAAAAAAAAAGGGGCAAAAATGCGGAGAAAAAAAAATTGTGCCATATGCTGGACGCGGGGCATTGCGATGCTCGGGTTTTCCAACGGGGCTCGGGCTCGTCGCAAAGGGGTGGGTTCAACTGAAACCCACTGCCACCCACTGATACCCACTTCCCAGCGAGGACGATCCAGTGCGCAGACGCCGCACCACTGAAGCCTGGCATTGGCTTCGTCAAGTTTGGAAGGATACGCCGGGTAGAGACACACCGTCGACTGCCCAATTCCAGCTGAACGAAGGCGCCGGCTGCGCTGCCCGCTCCCATCGGTCGACCAATCAAAGGGCACATCCTTGCATTACATAAGAAATTCGGTGGCCATTTTGAGTACGGCATGTGGACACGCCCACGCTGATAAATAATGAAAACATGTCGTCCGCCCCATTGAAAATAAACTCTGAAGTTAGCGAAACTCATCATAGAATTCTTTATCACAACACCACGCGCGCTTGTCTAGTTGTGAAATCTGTGTGTCCTGTGCGCTGGCCGTTTTTAGTTTCGACAAAAGCATAGTTGAAGGCGGCTCAATAAATACAAAAAAATATATACACATATTTAGAGCGGGACGGTACGGTCAAGCGGTAGCGGTAGCGCTAGCGGTACGGTACCAAACAGGCCAACAGGAAACGGAAATCGGAGCAAATCGACAAGTCGACAAGTCGAGACAAAACGCGGGCCAACAGCTCCGCAACGGTAAACAGTTTGAACGCCGACGCCAAACTGTTTTTACCTTTTCGAGTGCGCGTAATGCAATTACAGTCCAAAAATTATTAAAAATATATATATAATTACCGACGGCGGCCAGTTAGTTAGCGAAAATCACCTTGGCAACATTTTTTTACTGTGATTTTTTTTGCTCAGTTTCGGTCCAAACGCGTTTATAACAAATCAATTCAAAAAATACCCAACAGAAACTAACCGGCCAACGAAGGAATTTCTACTTTAGAATACAAAAATCAGAAGTGCAGTGAAAATCGAAAGAAAGAAAGAAGAAAGTAGATAGAAGAAAGTAGAAAGAAGGGGCGCATTCGCATTCGAGCGGGCCCAGTGCATTTGATTTGATCTGTTGATGTCCTGCATGCAGGACACGCGCTAAAGCTGTCCCAGTAAGTGCTTCAAAATTTACTCGCCAACCACTTTCGACGCCTCCAGGGCGTTCAAGCTGGAGGAGGATTTCGTCGGCGGCTGCATGACAATGTCGATGTACTCGACGACGGATAAAATGAAAATGTCAGCGCCCAGTTGTTTTCCAGGACGCTACAGTCCCTCCTATCGAAGTTCGGAGCAAATGCGACGCTGCATGCCAAATCCATCTGTAAGTATCAACTGGGAACTAAGTCCCTGGGAACTAGGTCCCGAAAAGTCCCATCGACCTTATCGCGAAAGTTTAGGGGAGTCCTGAGTCCCTTTGATTGTGGTCTCTCAAGACCAACACTCTTGCGATTCTTCCTTCTGTTCTTTGACCTCTCTTCGTCTCATAATTATGCAGTCTTATAACCTCTGAGTCTTACTATCCTAACTAGTTTAGCTACGAGTTACTTTATAATAATCATTTGATGGATATAAGAGAAAGATTTCCAATATCTTTGTGAACGTTGGCTTACTATTTGGATCTTGAAAAAGATATTAGAACCTTGCTTAAGGCTTTACAAACCAATGAAGCTTTGTCTTTAGTAATATTATTCATAAGGCAAATATTTCACTTTATCCTTATTTTCATAATCTTACAATTTCTTTGATTAATATTTGCTGAGCCCATAGTATTTTGTTATTTCATATCATATCATATTATCATATGTTATCTTGTATCAGCGAAACCTGCAAATTACCTTCATATGGTAGTTAGTATCACTAGTAAACTACATTTATTAAAGGATGTTCTCCTTAATTCTTCATCTTCATCTAAAATCCCATTTCTTTATTAGTTCTTACTTAAATTTGTAACATTTCACAGAGCCACTTAGGATTAAATTAGGCTTATGCAATACAACTATGAATAATTAAATAAGTTTACGCAATTACACCTGTAGATAATGATCATATATAAGAAAGTTACTATACCACGGAATATCCTTCCTTCTACAGATTCACATCTCGTCATCTTGCGATTCTCTCGAGGTATGATTTTCACATTAGTACGTTTTCTTCACAATTTCACCGAGTCATTCCACAGCAAATTGATTTTGCAGTGGAATGTAATCAAAAACTTTTGACAATCACAAAACTTCAAGTCATCCAATCGCTTATGAACTATAACGAATTCTGACAACTTACACGCATTTATTATATATTAAAAAAAACTTGTCATTGAGAATATAAATTCACTGTTCGAGATGTGGCAGAATGCACAAATAATTTGTAACAGTAAACTAACTTTCATATCTTCAAAATTGATTGCATAACATAATTTTCCCATCTATCATTGGATTGGAAAGTGTTATTTAAAGCCAACTTATACCTCAGCTTAACGGATTTCCATTTAATATTAATAAATTTAATTTGTATAATGGGATCCCATTACAATCTAAAGCTGTAGTTCCAAAACACCAACTTTAAGGCGATTTTTAATTCCCGCATTCTTAAAATCAATAGAAATGCATTATATAAATATAATTTCGCAAGTATGGAACAAAACATACTATACAATAGAAAAGCCTGCATAAATCCTTGGAAAAACCTTCCTGTACTATACTCAAGTTCTTTTCAGTAACTGCTTAAATAAATATTTAATAATGTGCCTTTAAATGTCCTTACTTTAGGAACGAATCAAATTCCCGTACTCTTAACAAGTTCTACTTAGTAACTTCCTAACAAATATTTAATAATGTGCTTTTAAAAGTCAATATTTTATGTTCGATTCAGTTTTCGTTGAATAAATCTATCAAGAAACTTATACAACAGCAATAACTTCTTATGCTTAAAATGCAATTTTACCTTTTTGCAAAGTTAACTAAACATATATAAGAATTCAAATAGGTTGCTGTTCCTAATTTAAAAACAATTTTTTATTATTTTATTCATTTGGCTTTGCAAATTAGACCTAAATAGGCAAATAAACATGACAGTTTTTCCGCATAAGGACCAAGTTAACAACCATATCAAAGGGGAAAGTGGGCATTATTTCACAACCTGTTCCTGTGACCCGCAAATATGGGTTCCATTCATACTTTCCATCGCATTCCGCAGCTGAATATAAAAAACCCCCGGCTCACAACCCAGTTCTGCGATATATAGAGCTTAGGGATCCCGTGTTTTTCCTGTCTGAATGCATTAATAACGAAGAATTCGGAGTATTTGGCAGGCGTCTCGGAGTTTGCCAGTGTCCTGCTGAATCTTTTATGAGCTTTGAGTTAAAAATTGAATGGGAACATGGGCAGACATTAAATGGTTATTACTGACAGTTCTCAGACAGGTTTATTGATGCCAGTCTGCTGGCCAGGATTACAGGTGGAAAAGGAACATAAACAGGAGCAGGAAACGGAAATGGAAATGGAAATGGAGCGCATTTCCATTTCAACTGGCGATAATTTCCGCCAAACATTTGTCTTAATTACGTCATGAATGTCGCTAAAGTTTCCCGGATTCCGTTGGCCGGTTTTTGTGGGTCTTACATTGCCCACTAAATATGTACCCAAACTCAAGGGTTGTGCAGTAACCTTGAAAAGTGATTTGAAATTCATTTGCATTAATTATTTACCAACTATTTGTATGCGCTGCTGACCAGCTAGACAAATAAAAAATGTAAAAGCACAGGGTAGAAGAACAAAGATGGAAAAAATTATACGAGCTGGCTGAACGATAATGTTTATACCCTGGGTTTACCACCCAATTTAAGAGGTTTTTTAATGGAATGACTTATTGAAGGAAATCGAAATAAAAACTGTTGTTTATCAAAAGTGTTTTTTTTAGTTTTTTATTTAAAAGTCACTCAAATAAAAACAATTTTTAGTAATCATTTTTAATTAGAGAACCTTGAATAATGTGTAATATATGAGTTAAAGCTTAATTTTCTATCAATTTATGAGCTTTTCCAAAATTTGTATAGGTTTTATAGGTTTAAAACTTATTTTAAGTTTATTTTGTGTACGAAAAATCAACCCAAAGATTTTTTGAATGGCTTAAGAGGCTATTTAAATCAAGTCCACCTCAAAAGCATATTTTTAAAGACAATATCCGAGATAATAGCGTTTGAAATTTGCTACGAATTAATTTAGGATGTGGACTTAGTACGCTATAATATCTACAGCTAAGATTTTTATAACACTTCGTGTAAGAAAATCCAAAAATTAAAAAAAAAAATTTCGTGTGGTAGAAGTAAAATAGGATTATTATTTATATTTGCCAAATTGAATATTTTATAATTTTCATTTTTCAAAAATAAAAAGAGCATAAAATTGGGTGAAAAAATCGTTAAATGCGCTGAGACCTAAATTACCTAAGCACAAGTACCTGAAAAATAGAAATTTAAAATGTCGGCACTTTATTTCAATTGAACTTAAAAAACACCAATAAAAACTAAGTGGCAGGACAATTTATGGAAGAAAAGTGTCTGGTATTTTCTTCTTAAGTTGTACTACCCTTTGCTAGGGCATAAAATGTGCATAAAGAAATGAGAAAACAGACTTGGAAATTGGTGCAAAATGTCCAGAGTCAGGTGAAAAAAAAGTTGATTGCCTTGAGAACAGGTGAATGGGAAATCCGGGGTGGAGGGCTACCTTTTTTCCCACCCCGCCGACCGCGGATTTTCCAACCCCGCCTGCAGGTCCTTAAATTAATCCGACACAAAAGCACTTTAAAGAAAAAAAAAAAGGGATCGAAAAAAATGGGAAAATCACTTCAAGTGTATTTCTTCTTTAAGAGGCAACAACTACATTTGCTTATCGGATTTATCCATGAATCCCCCCTCGCAGCTTTCAACTGGCCGTTAGCCACTTTTCGGCTTTTTTGGAAGCTGCCAGCGGACCAAGTTGAATGATCAAAGCGGCGGATTTATAGGATTTATATGCTACCCTTGGCTGGGCATTAAGCAGGGAAAAGCAGGAGGCACAAGTGGGAGGGAAATTCGGAGGAAATCCGGTGGAAATCCGGGGGTGGGACACCGCTTTTTGGCTGGTTACAAAAACACTTAACGCCTTGCAGTCCATTAAATGGAAATTTGTCGCCGTTGCCCTGGACCGAAATAAACTCGTTGAAGGCTGCAAAACCGAGTACTGAAAATCAGAAACCAAAAACCGGGTGGGGAAGTGTGATTTCCAGGGGCGGGGGTTTCAACAGGGGCAGTTGTCATTTAACTTGAATTGTTTGGCTGCCGCATTAAATGGACAGCGGCGGCGTTAATTTGATTTAAATATTCATAAACTGCATTAAAACGAAACCAGCTGGAAAACAATTGACAAATTATTGGCAAAACAAAAATAAATGAAAACAAGTGTTGAATATGTATACAAACAGTAGGCAAACGAGTTGAATCGAAGGATTAGCAGCTCTGTTTCAGCTGAATGAAATATTAAATAGGGTAAAAACTATTAGGTAAATCAATGGGTCTTATTTTAGTGATATATAAACAAAGTCCTTGAACAACTTATTGGGTCAAAAACAAGCATTTTCCAGGATTATTTTATATTTTTAATGATTTGGTAAGCTTAAATGATTTGGAAAAGAAATGTATTCAAAAACATCGCAATCTCTCCCGATTTGACCATTTTTGGGACTCCTAAAAAAGCACACATCCTTTGGAAAACATAGAACTTCTAATGATCATGAGACAATTTAAAATCAATTTTATTTCTGTAAGTATTTTGTTGCGTTTTAAATTTGTTTGAATTGTAAGCATTTAAAAATTAACCCTTGTTTTGTGTATAGAATTTAAAAAATAAATTGTTAAGTTATTGGGTACAAGATGTAGTTTCGAGGATAACGAGATTATGACCATTACTATTCTTTTCTTTGAGAATCTAAAGTTATATTACCATAGCTAGCTACATAAACAGTATTTACAGAGATGGTATGAAGTTTCACATGAAATAAAATCATTTTAATATTTTAAGCATCAGTTTACCAACATAAAATCAGTCAAATTCAATTACCGACGAACTCTGGTTAAATTAATTTTATTTATAAATTTATTTTTTATAATTTTAAGATAGTTGTGACTTCTTAAGAAATGTATTTTTAGTTGAAGTTTGGTTAAAATCGAATATTAGGATATAAACCAATGTCTACTTGTAATACTTCTCCAATATTTCCCGCAACTTAAAAGATATCCTGCGTGTTTTAAAGTCTCACATTCACTCGAATTTAATTGCTCCAGTATTCGAGGGTTCGTTTTGCAGCGCAATCGATAAAATTAAGCATTCAGCATTGCGTATCTATTTACACACATCATAAATATTAAATAGCTACAAAAATAAACAAACAAAAAAATCAAATTATATATATAAGGCACACACATCTACGCAGAACACACACACACAGAGGACGAGACTCACGTGGAGAGAAAAATGACTCAAACAAACAAACAAAGTGCGAGACAGAAAGAGCAGGACGAAAAGGATAAAAAAATAACAGTTCACTTGATTAATTTTTCACACTAATAAAGAATTTATGTGCAAGTGTGAACCTGCACTGCGAACCCCATACATATACGTATGAGTGTGTGTGTGTGTGCAGGTCAAGACAGAGTCCTGGCCATCTTCCCTCTCCCTCACCTGGCTAGGATCCTGGCCTAGGTCGTGGCTAAAAGGAGAGAGGAAAAGAGAGAGAAAGAGAGGTCCTGGCACTGCATAATTTGATGAATGACTGCGCATATTAATTCATAAATTAATTTACTGCTGCGTTGCGGTGAAACATTTATTGGCCAACAAACTGTTGCGAATTCTGGTCAGGAGTGTTTTCCGGTTTTTCTTGGTCCTGCAGTGGATAATATATCATCTAGAATAGAGAACAGTAATAAGGTACTGAATGAAGTTGGGAAATTTCCTAAATTTGATTCGGACTGGAAACATTTTCTGGCTAAAGAAGTTGGGACATTTCCAAAATTTGATTCGGACTGGAAACATTTTCTAGGTAAATTATAGAAAAACTTAACATATCAGTCGACAACGTTATAATACTGGTTTTTAGACTATTAAACTACTAGCATTTACAAGAAATATAGTTCCTAAGTTCAATATCAATCTTCATATGAATTTAACTACATGGAAAATGTTACCGCAACTAAGATTTCAAAATCTGAAAGTTCACATCGAAGCGAATTTTACTCTGACTTAGCTTTAACTTTAAATCTTAACATTATTATAATATTAAAACGTTGGATGTTTCGAGCAGTAGGATTTTAAAAATCTGATCTCAGACTTTCAGATTTTAAGATTTGGTAATCCGTACTGCGGTTATACTTTGAGACCCTAATCCACTTACATAATAAATAAAAAGAACAGTGGAAATTATTCTTAAGCTTAACCCCTACCTTTAAAAAACCTTGAGAAGGAGAAAGTTAAGACCTAAGTTGAGATGCAAATAAATAAGTTCCTAAGTCCAATACTTTAAAAAGAGCTTTAAGGTCATGGGAAAGTGAATTTGTTATGTTTCAAATAAGGTTAAAAACCTTTTAATGTCAAACAGGTATGAACTTTTAACACATACCCTATAGTTAAGGTCGTTGTTACCTAAAGATCTCTTTTTTGAACTCCGTTTTGGTTCCTCGTGTTTCGTTTTCGACCCAGAAGTGGGATCCTGTTTTTGGCAGCACGCATAAACGTGGCCATTAAGGCAACTGTCGCACCGGTAACATGGCCAACCCGACCCCCTTTGGGCCCCACTTGCAGGTGCAAACAAACTGTCGTTGTCAGAGTATTTGCACACCCACGCCCACCAAGGGCCACGCCCCCTGTCAAAGACGCCCCCTTTCGACCACGTTTAAGCGACAATGAGTGGTCGGCCATGGTCGAATGGTTGGATGGTTGGATGGTCGAGAGCGGTCGAGTGGTCGAATGGGCCAAGACGTCATTAAGAATGCACAACATTTTGATTTCTACAATGGTCGTCCCGTCGCCCGGTTATTGCGGTCCTTCCGTTGCAAAGGACAAAAAGAGACCGAACGCAGCAGAGTGAGGGAGATGGGCAACAGAGGGGAATGGAGCTCTACACAGAGATACAAATATTTAAATATTTGAATAAAAACAGACTATTTAAAACCCAAAACTTTGACATTATTTTGTTGAAATTTCACCTTTAACTAACTGCATTTATAGCCTTAAATCATCAAATTTATTCTACAAATCTTTTTACCTTCCACTTATGAGTGAGTAAGCATCGTCTAAGCATTTTAAATCTGAAGAAGAATTATTTATTTACTTAAATTCTTCATCTTAAAATATATACTCATTCTTAAAGTAAGAAACACATTAGTAAAACGGTGATTGGCAATTGATCCATTGAGAAATAAATTGAAGTTTATTTAGGCATCCGAAGTAGGGTTTATTAAAAACCATAGGTCATGTTGTTATTAATATTCATCATTACCGATACTTGAGCAGAATTATATTTTGTATGTGTCTCAATTTTATAATAATCATATATTAACGAAACCCTAAGACCTTATATATTCAGGAGAAATGCACATTTGTAAATATACCGATAGTTCCTATGAAAGCTTTACGTTACAGTCGTAGGAATTCAAAATTCTAAAATTATTAAGAGAATGTAATCAATAAAATTAATTTTTCGCTAGTTCCTATGGAAGCTATATGATATAGTTATCCGATTAAAAACAATTTCTTTCGAAATTCTGAAATGTTCTATTATTTTTCCGATCCTACCTATGAGCGCTGTAGGATATAGTGGTCCGATCTGCTCCGACTTACATAGATCAGATCCACTCGGCTGTTGATGGTGAACAAGAATATATATTTTTTATGAAATCATAATACCCCCTGCAAGGGCATACAAAAGTATGCCAAAATCTCCGGCCCAAATTATTTTTTTTATTTATAAGAGATCCATTTGGCTTAAAGCCCCCTGATTTTGTCAGTGCACCTGCTGGGCCTTCGAATTACGCCTTTCGCCTGAAAATGGGCCGCAAAACGTGAGCGATGCCGATGCCGATGTCTTTTGGCCATGTGGGCTCCGTCTCATTCACACTTAACCCCCTTCTTTTCGTCTTTCGGTTTCGTCGTGCGGCGTTTTGAAGTTTTGTGCGCATCTAAATAATTGATTAACTGAAAAATTCGTGCAAGTTTCGTATACACAAGGAGTTTTCAGCGTCCACATACATATATATGTATATATATAAATTTATATGTATGTCTATATATAAAATATAAAATCGATAAGACTGGAATAATAAAGACGACGACGAGGACGGCGACGACATGAAGATGAACAAGCGGGCACGGGAACCGAAAAACTTTTGATATTATTTATTTAAAAACCAGCTAGTGGAGTCGTGGGAAGCAGAAAGTGGGGTGCCCGACTAAAAAATCAATACGAACCGAGCTGGTTAAAGGCTTTAAGGTTCTTCCTTTAACTCCAAAATACAAATAAAACAAATAAAAATTAAAATAATTGCTGCACTGGCACTTCAATCTATACACATACTATCGATGTTTGTTCCGTCTTTTCAGAGTCGTTTGTTAGAAGATGCTTCCCTATTATGCAATTCGTGGTCAGCACGTCAGAATGTAAGTTTAAAATAACACTCAACAAAAAAAAAAAAACAAAACAAAAAACAAACCAGTAAACCATGTTTGTTTTGACTTGATTGATTTTCCTTTTCTGAAATTCGTTTTTTGATACGTATGCATTTGGTATTTGATCTCTCTCGCCGAAGCCGACCTATATATATATCTCTCAGTATATCTATAAGTATGCCAACGTGTATCTGCCATCGAAACTTTGCCTTTGTTTAATCGAAAATTGCGAATTGGATTTGGGTGATTTGATCTCTATGTTCCCTATTGTTTCTTGCCTGCGGATTATATATGTATACCCCTGCATCCCGTAATCCCCTGTAACCCATAGCCCATACCTCGTACCCCTACATATCCAAATTTCGAACCTTAAGCCTGCCCCGTATGATATCCGGCCTACTGACCATCCCGATCTCCAATCTTCTATCCTCTGCAGGGTGATATCTTCGCGGGCATCAACGATGGGATCCTCAGCAGAGCGGAGGCCCTGGCCGCCGTCGACATCCAGAAGCATCAAGCCCAGCATGTACATAGCCAAATGCCCTCCCAAATCAAGCACGACGTCATGTACCACCATCACTCCATGAGTGGGCCCCCGCAACGTCCACTGCAGGTGAGTCCAAGTCCTAGGTCTAAGTCTCTAGAATATATTTGGGGGGATTGCCAAAGTACATCACAACATGATTGAATCATCAACCATAATCCCTTTAAATAATCCCTACTTGCTTCAGACTTATACTAAATTGATCCTTTTAAACAGCGGTCATAGGGGATAGCTCTGCTTGTTTTCTGCCGCCACACAAACAGTGTTCAACAGCAGTCGGCACACACAAAAGATAAAATATCATCCCCGACCGCTGCTTTAAACAATCCCTACTTTCTTAAGACCAGAAATAATATTCCACCGCTATTACTTTTAAATATGTTAGGGTGATTTCTTTTAAATCAAATTTGAAAGTTAGATTTCTTGACTTTTAAATGATTAATGGGTTTTATAACTAGTTAAATTCGTAAAGGATTGTGATGATTTCAAACCTTAAATTAGGATCAACTTTTCAAAACCTTATCTAACAATTGATTTTTTCCTTAACTGATATTTTTGCCTAAAAACTTTGTATTAGACACTTCGGTAATAGGATCCAATAATCAGTGTACAAATTATTACCTGATTTTTGTAGTATTTTAAATCTGGGAAATAGCGTTACAGGCATCCAAAACTTTTCTTTTATTTGGAAAAATTGTAGAGATATATTTAAATCAAAAAACTTAGCTATTCCAAAACAATGTTAAAAATGTGGTTAAAAGGTTATAAATTTACTCAGGGTGATTTCTTTTAAATCAAATTTGAAAGTTAGATTTCTTGACTTTTAAATGATTAATGGGTTTTATAACTAGTTAAATTCGTAAAGGATTGTGATGATTTCAAACCTTAAATTAGGATCAACTTTTCAAAACCTTATCTAACAATTGATTTTTTCCTTAACTGATATTTTTGCCTAAAAACTTTGTATTAGACACTTCGGTAATAGGATCCAATAATCAGTGTACAAATTATTACCTGATTTTTGTAGTATTTTAAATCTGGGAAATAGCGTTACAGGCATCCAAAACTTTTCTTTTATTTGGAAAAATTGTAGAGATATATTTAAATCAAAAAACTTAGCTATTCCAAAACAATGTTAAAAATGTGGTTAAAAGGTTATAAATTTACTCAATTGATCCATATATCTAAAACTAAAACCCTTTAAAACGTATTTCCATACCAAATACCTCTCAGTCCCTTCGTCTTGGGCACCCGTCTGCATGGAACCCATAATGTGGCCGTCATTTCAAATCCTTACCGTCTCGACTTGACTTGTTGGGACAGCTGAGACGAAACCAAAGCAAATATGGATCCAAACAACTTCAGGAAGTGGAAATCCAACGGTTGATTGAACCCAGTCGGCACGCCCCCTTTTGCGGTTGCCCCTTTTGAGTGTGTATTGGTTGGATTTGGATGGGGGTATTAGCCATCGACTAGAATGCTGCAAATTATGAAAGTCACTCCCTGATGAAGCGGGTTATAAATGGGGGAACGGAATCGGAATCGGAATCGGAAACGGGAAACGGGAAGGGGAAACGGAACTGTCGCATTGGGACAGCCGAGAACTCCAATTTCCGTTTTCGATGGTCACACGCATGTCTACCTATAGATATACACCTATACATATATATATGTATATGTGTGTGTGTGGTTAATTTGAAATGTTTCTTTAATAAAATTAAAATTGTGACGTGTAAGCCTTCTGGGAACGTGCCACGTGACGGTCGTTTGCCAGGTAAGCACATCATGATTCGTGTCGTTAATTGTATTGTACTTCAACTCGAACTGGGCGTTCCAAAGAACTTTCGAAAAAGGGGGTTAGGGGCCCAAGTGGTGGTTGCTGCTGCTCTATTAGAAGTTGATTGTAATCAAATTACACAAGCAACCTGTTTTTTTTTTGCTGTCGTTGTCCCGTTTCCAGAGCCTCCAGCTAGTTGTATAGTTGCTCTAGCTGGTGTTGCTGCGGTGCTCATGTTGCTCCCGTGCTCATGTTGCTCGTGTTGCTGTTGCTGTTGCCACTTGTTTTCGGCACAATCGAGCATGACGAAAGTGCGCCCTGTCCACGCGCCGTCCGCGGTGGTTGATGTGGTTGTGACCCCCACCTCTGTCGCCTTCAATCCTCCGTAGGCAAAATAATCCACCCAACCCCCAACCTCGATCCTGGGAGTCCCTCCTGGCACTTGGCACATGCCACATGGCACATAGCATAGAGCACATAACCCATAACCCATAACCATTCCCAATTGCCAGCGCGTGCTGTCCTTAATTTTCGGCAAACACACTCGGCGCACTCGAGAGTTTCGATTTCGGTCTCAGGTGCCGGCCAACTCTATCAATCACCCACACTCCCCAGTCCTCAGACACCCCTTAGATATATCAGTCCCATTCCTGGGCCCATTCCTATTCCCATTCCCATTCCCTTACACGATCTCCGATTCGATTGTTAACAAATTGGCTTTTCCGGGAAGAGGGTTCCCATCGAGAACTTATTAATAAAGACAAGAAATCAAAGAGCTCGGAGTTTTTGAAAGTCTCGAATAACAATCGCAACAGTTACTGATTGGAGGAGAGCAAATGTAGTATTTAGAAAAGTAAACTTCTAAGGAATGCAATAAAATAAAAGAGACATAATTTTTGAGCTTGCTGCAAGATTATTTTTAAGAAAATTTTCATTGGAAAGCAAATGTTGCTATGAATAATTCAGTTTGTGTTGACCAATACAAAATGTAAAAAAAATCAAAATCCCTATTAAATATTTCCTTAACCGCATTATAAGGTCTTAGTATTATTATTTTAGGACCTAGGGCACCGCCTGTACCTGTCCAGAACCAAAGATAGACCTAACCCTTCGATGGGACACTTGACACATTTTGTCAACCGCAAAAAAAGTTGGGCAGCCATAAGTCCTCAGTCCCACATCAAATATTGAGACCCCAAAATCTGGACAATGTGGGAATAGCCTAGTACGAAACAGCTGGGCCTCGAATATATGCAAACCACAAGATTGGCCACACGGAAAACAATTTATTTTTTAAAGGCGAAACTCGCGAGCCCAGCGAGCCTTGTCACTAAACCACTTATCCAATTCTTCTTCAACTTTGCAATAATTCTCATTGATAGCTTTCATATTACGGCGCATCCCCTCCAATTCACGGAGTATCCTGTCGGTGTCCCGCTGGCGAAGATAGGCTCTGGCTTTATAACATTTCAAAAACTCATCTGATTCTTCAGGCGACATATCTATGTTCCCGACATCAGAATAGTCGTAAGAATCTAAATGAGACCGCATCTTAGCCTCATCTTCTGGATTGATTATACCCGTCGCATTAAATATATCCCAAATTTCGCTTACATCCCGGTCTCGTTGAGCTTCTTGATTAGGTTTATTTACTGTGTTGGAAATGGCAACCTCTTGAGACTGGGTTATATCCTCTGGCTTGCTATGCGGAAGAATATTTGGTATAGCCTGTTGTTTTAAAATGACCTCTTGGTTTAACACAGCTTCTGATTTAATTTTATTTTCTGGCTTGAGGAAATCAGTCTCTTGGCTTGGTTCAGTTTTTCGCTTACATTTATTTTCTGGCTTGGAGATAACCTCTTTAGACTGCATTAAAACCTCTGGTTTCCTTAGCGACAGGACCTCTGGTATAAGCCAAGGTTTAAAAATCAACTCTTCGTTCAATTTAGCTTCAAATTTAATCTTATTATCTGCCCTAACGAACTCAGTCCGTCTGCTTGGCTCGGATTTAAGTTTAAATTGATTTTTTCGGATGAGAACCTCATTAGACTGCGTTATAACCTCTGGTTTGTTAAGCGAGAGAAGATGTGGTATTAGCCGTGGTGTAAAAATTACCTCTTGGTTCAATTCAGCTTCTGATGTAGTTTTATTTTCTGGCATGAGGATATCAATCTTTTGGCATGGTTCAGCTCTTAGTTTAAATTTATTCTTTTTCTTAGAGAAAACATCCTCATTAGACTGCTTTATAACCTCTGGCTTGGTAAGCGAGAAATTATCTGGTATAAACCGTCGTTTAAAAAATACTTCTTCATTTAATTTAGCTTTTAAATTAATATTCTTTTCTGCCCTGCGAATATCAGTGTTTAGGCTAGGTTCAGCGTTTAGTGTAAATTTATTCTCTGGCTTAGAGAAAACAGCATCGTGAGACTGCATTATAACCTCTGGTTTGGTAAGCGAAAGGACATCTGGTATGAACCGTGGCTTAAAAAATAATTCTTTATTCCATTTAGCTTCCAAATTAAACTTATTTTCTGTCATTAGGATATCAGTCTCATGGCTTGGTTCAGCATTTAGTTTAAATTTATCTTTCTTAGAGATAACAACCCCTCTAGACTGCATTATATCCTCTGGTTTGGTAAGTGAGAAAACATCTGGTACAAGCCGTGGCTTAAAAAATACTTCTTCATTCAATTTAGCTTCTAATTTAACCTTATTATCTGCCTTTAGGATATCAATCTCCTGACTTGGTTCAGCTTTTAGCTTAAATGTTTTCTCAGACTTAGGGTTTACCCCTTTAGACTGCATTATAACCTCAGGTTTTCTTAGCGGTGTAAAACTAACCTCTTCGTTTAATTTAGCTTCAAATTTAGTATTATTCTCTGCCCTCAGGATATCAGTCTCTTGGCTTGGTTCAGCATTTAGTTTAAATTTATCTTTCTTAGAGATAAGAACCCCTCTAGACTGAATTATATCCTCTGGTTTGTTAAATTTAGTAAATTTAGCTTCTAATTTCGTCTTATTCTCTGCCTTTAGGATATCAATCTTCTGACTTGGTTCAGCTTTTAGCTTAAATGTTTTCTCAGACTTAGGGTTTACCCCTTTAGACTGCATTATAACCTCAGGTTTTTTTAGCGGTGTACAACTAACTTCTTCGTTTAGTTTAGCTTCTAATTTAGTATTATCCTCTGCCCTCAGGATATCAGTCTCTTGGCTTGGTTCAGCTTTTTGTTTAAATATATTATCTAGTTTAGAGATAACCTCATTAGACTGCATTGTAACCATTGGTTTTCTTAGCGAAAGAACATCTGGTATACCCTGTGGTTTAAGAATTACTTCTTTCTTCAATTTACCTTCTTTTATCTTATTTTCTGCCTTCCATTGAATTGGTTCAGCTCCTTGTTCAGATTCATTGCCTGTCTTAAAGATAACCTCGTTAGACTGCATTATAACCTCTGGTTTGGTAAGCGAAAGAACATCTGGTATGAACCGTGGCTTAAAAAATACTTCTTTATTCCATTTAGCTTCCAAATTAAACTTATCCTCTGCCTTTAGGATATCAGTCTCATGGCTTGGTTCAGCATTTAGTTTAAATTTATCTTTGTTAGAGATAACAACCCCTCTAGACTGCATTATATCCTCTGGTTTGGTAAGTGAGAGAACATCTGATACAAGCCGTGGTTTAAAAAATACTTCTTCGTTTAATTTAGCTTTTAATTTAACCTTATTATCTGCCTTTAGGATATCAATCTCCTGACTGGGTTCACCTTTTAGCTTAAATGTTTTCTCAGACTTAGGGTTTACCCCTTTAGACTGCATTATAACCTCAGGTTTTCTTAGCGGTGTAAAACTAACCTCTTCGTTTAGTTTAGCTTCTAATTTAGTATTATTCTCTGCCCTCAGGATATCAGTCTCTTGGCTTGGTTCAGCTTTTTGTTGAAATATATTCTCTAGTTTAGAGATAACCTCTTTAGACTGTGTTATAACCTTTGGTTTTCTTGGCGAAAGAGCATCTGGTATAGCCTGTGGTTTAAAAATTACCTCTTGCTTTAATTTACCTTCTGATTTTATCTTATTTTCTGCCTTCCATTGAATTGGTTCAGCTCTTTGTTCAGATTCATTGCCTGTCTTAAAGATAACCTCTTTAGACTGCATTATAACCTCTGGTTTGCTTGGTATAGCCTGGGGATAAAAATTCATCTCTTGGTTCGGCTCAGCTTCTGGTTTAGGAATATTAGCTTTGGCAGTCTGCCTTATAACTTCTGGTATAGCAGCTGCTCTAGATTCATTTTCTGCTTTAGAGATAGCCAAGTCTTGAGACTGCATTTTAACCTTTGTTTCGCAAAACGGTATAAAATTTGATATAGGATGGAGTTTAATGTCCATGTCTTGGTTTGGTACCACTCTAGGCTCAGGCGTTAAAATACCAGCCCCACCAGTCTGTCTTATAATCTCTGGTTCAGTAGCTGGTTTAGGTTTATTCTCTGTCATAGTAATAGTAGCAGTCACTCTTCTAACCTGTAAAGTAGCCTGAAGTCGAAGCATAATCTTTGGGATTGGTTTAGCTTCTCCTTCAACTCTATTTCCTTGCATTTGAATAACAACGTGACTGGTCTGCTTTACAACCCTTGTTTTGGTATGCAATATAACCCTAGATTTGGTTGGAGGTATAACATTTGGTTTTGTCTGCGACTTAACCTCAGGATTGGCCACTGGAAAAAACTCTCGGTTAGCTGGTGGTATAACTCTGGAATAATCCAACGGTTTTTGCCCTGGTTCTGACTTACGGAACGGACCTTCTTTAACTTCTGGCTTGGACAGCGACTTAACCTCCGGTCTAATCTTCATAATAACCTCAGGTTTTATCTGTGGCATTACCTCTGGTTTAACCTCTTGTTTTGATGTTATCGTTGCTTCGTTCTTGATCTCTGGTGGTGGTACTATCTCTTGGTTTTCTGTAACCACCAGATTCGCCTTTCGCTTTGGTTTCGGGGGTACCTCCGGTTTAACTTTAATTGGTTTTCCGTTTGCCTCATTTTTTGTTAGGTTGTCCGCTCCTTCCGCCTGCATATTCACCAGCGATTTCTTATCGAATGTGCAAAATGTACGACGGACCTCACATTTTCCCAGTTTTGGCCAAGAATGGCGTTTTCGGATACGAAGAACTCGATTTGAATGCATTCTTCTCTGTTGGCCGAAAGAACATTTAATTTTGCGTCCTTAGAACTGGTAAAATATTTGACTTTAGTTTTTTACTGATATTTTTTTTTAATTTTTAAATATTACCTTATACCGAGTACGTTCGATTTCTATGAATGTTGACTGGGAACTGACGAAAGGGAGTGATATAGCTTGAAATGTTTTTCAAAGGCATATAGATTAGAAAATCATGATGACCTGATTGCTTGGTAAAGCCTTTTAAAATATAAGTTAAGACATATAAATGATTTCCTTGTTCCAAAGTTTAAGCATATCAATGCATTATTAATATTTTGGCCAAACCAACAGAGTTCTACTTGTCCTTAAAGGTGAAATTCTGTCAGTTGGAGTTGGCGAACTTCTGCTAATTGTGGCTCAACTTTGGGAAGCTACTTAAGGTAGTGCTGCTACCTATGTTTGTACCACCGGATCTCTTACCATTCCCAAAACCCCTTCGCCCGGAACCCTCAGCCCCCGAAGCGAAACTTTGGGAATGGAGAGAGTTGGTGGACTGTCAGAAAGTCCTGGTAACATGTGTCATAATCGTTATGCCAGAAGACAGAAGGCCCCCAGCGCTATTTCCCGGCCACAGCAAACATTACAAAACTCATTAAATTAAACTAATTTACGAGCCGGCAACCAGCAGCCCCAATCCAACTGGTTTCGCTACTGGTTTTTGGTTTTGCTAGCATATGAAAAGCCAATTATGTGGAGAGGCAATCGCAATAAAAACGAGGCGGCGGCAAAAGGGTAAACAAGAGTAAATATAATGCTAATTAAAATAATCATATCCATCATAAAACTCACTGCTCAAAAAAGGGGGAGGGTTTTCAGAGGTTTCCGACGATTCCGAGGACCAGGGATAAGTATTGTTGTCAGGTTGTCAGAACATTTGTAACAATTACGGCAGCGGCAAAATATCCATTATCAATTTCAGGCCCAACTGTGCCAAATCAACGGGGGATATGTTTCTTTTCCGGTTTTGGGTTTTCGAGATGAGCTGGCCACTTTGCAGGCATTTATCACGGATTTTTCCGGTCCGAACTTATGCTCCGATCTGGTTATTCTATATTTTCCGGCCGCGCAACCCTCGCTCACTTAATTCAATTTAAATTACACTTACATATTTCCGGCCGGGGCAAGGGTACATACACATATCCTGTCCATTAGTATTCGCAACATATGGCTCAATTTCCCTCGAATCGTACCGCTTTCCAGGCACGCACCGCCCAAAGGGATACGGAATACATACCGACCGGGATTCGGGGGTTCTCTGAGGTCTGAAAACTGAAGTCCCTGTTCCTGTTCCTGCAGTTTAACCACAAGTGGTTTATCATACTGAAATTCATTTAGTGCACCTGTTTGATTTTTCCTATCCCGCCCTATACTTTTTCGTCCTGCGGTCGGCATATTGTTCTGTAAATATCGTTAACTCACCATTGCCACTCCACACGCAAGCCAAACTCCACTTCCACATCCATTTCCGGTTCCTTTAACTATTTTGCTTTCCTCGTTGGCCCAGCGGCGACAGGCGACAACAGCAAATATTTGTCTTTTGTTCACATTAGAAACAACTTACCGCTAACTAGGGTGGCCTCGTCCAGGGTGGACCTTCGGGGGATCCGCGTTGAAACCCAAAAAAAAAAAATATTATGAGTGTTGATGAAATGTCTGTTTATTATAATGATTCCAATTTCCTTAACGAAAATAAAGTAGAAGTAATGATAAGGAATGATCATTAATAGTATCTGTTGTATTTTAAGATTATTTTAATGTCATTGGATTTTTTCAATAAATTATCTATAATTTGGTCAAATATATATTTTTTTACTATTGCAAAACATGTAAAACTTAGTGTTAAATCCCACAAAATCATTAATAAGCAGAAATCATTTGTAAAACACAAAGCACATATCATAAAATATGTAAGGTTTTCAGGCTATTAAAAACCCCATACTTGAACGCATTTACTAACTTAACTGCAATTTTCTCAAAGTCGCTTTACAAACTCGAATTGCAAATCAAACAAAAGTCGTTTAACTGTAGTTTACCGAGCAATGAACTCTAATTTGGCTTTTTTTACCTGGGAATGCTGAAAAGGCAATCAAAAAATGCATTAGACAAACAACAGACGCCATTTTTCTACACCCCAGAAAATCGCCCAAATTGTCCAATTATCGATTATTGCATTGTTTATGGTCTGGCCATCAGAAGCCATGTCTGGTTATCGATTACGCTGTCATTTATCGCCGGCTTGATTGACTTAATTAAATGTGTAACCATATTTAATGTTGACCAACTGGGAGCCACAAAAAGCGTAGCCACAACAAACTCATCAAATATAGAGGAAATTATGATTATTAATGCATTAACTTTATTTAGTGGCCGGTCGGTGTTTTTGCTTAGGTGAAAGTTCAATGTCTGTCTGTGAGGCGAGCATGTTTTTCATTTATTTATTTTATTATTTGCGCTGTGCAGAAAGCTTTGTGTCATCCAGTGACAATTTACCGACCCCCAATCCACTTTCCCCCACGATGTTTCCCTTATTTATTTATTTAGTTTCCTTTTCTTCATCAATTATTTAGGACCTGTATGTGTTCGTCTTTTTTATGGCCAAGACAATTGAAGACACAGGGCGTTCAGGGATAGGAAAAGGGAGAAAGGTAGAAAAGGCAAAGGAAAAAGAAAACGGGAAGAGAAAAAAGGAAAAAGGACACGGACATCGCTCATACGCCAGGTGGCACTGCGTCGTCTTTGTAGTTAATAGTCCCATACAATTACACGCAACTTCGACTGCAAACTGCACTTTCTCCCTGCACTTTCATCCATTTTTAATGGCCCGATTCGGGAGAAACCGCTTTTAGCCCTAATCGACTGATTGGCCAAATTGCAGATTACAATCGGCTCAGAGTTTGTTTCAGAGTAAATGAAAAAAGAATCGAAAAGAGTTCGGAGTTCAAACAATCGGAATTGCATTTCCACTGTCATCCAGATAATCGCTGTAATTTACAGAGCTTTCCAAAAACTTAAGTGATTTTAAACCACACAATGGGTGTCCAAAAGTATGCTACATTTGTAATACCTTTAAAAATTTATCAGTTTGCTCATTTTATATTCGTTCCACATATAAACGTATGATAAACTAAGCGGTATTATGTGTTTGATTTAAAAATTACTTGATTTAAAGATTATGAAAATCATACCATTGCTATACCATTTTAATCTTAATAAATAATGTACAAAAATCTAAAAAAAAAAATATTATTCGTTAAATGTCTGGCTTAAAAATTCTGAACATTTGATAAAAATTTTAGTTTTATAAAATAAGTAATGTCACATTAAAAATCTTAATATTTAGTAAAGATTTTGTATATTTTATTTTTATTACCATTGATTTACCATTTTAATTTAAAAATAAAAATAGTGAAATCTATACAAAAGTATAATTCGTTAAAAGTCTGTCTTACAAATTCGGAACATTTGATCAAAATATTAGCTTTATAAAATTAGTAATATCACATTAAACCACTTAATATTCAGTAAAACATTTTATATATATTTTATTTTTATTTTCTAGAAAACTATGTCCGTAACATTATAAATGTGAAGATAAGTTAACAGAAAAATTGAATTAAACACTACAAAATCAAATTAATAATTCAAAAGTAGATCATGTTTGCTAGATGGTCTCTGCAATGCAGCATTTTTTATGATTAAAATTCCTTTTTTAGTGTAGAGTCCCACAAGTTGTAGCCACCATCTGTCCACACTTGCACCTTGATAAATCGGATCTAACTAAGTTGAACCCCCGCCCAAGTTTTGCGCATCCCAAAAAAAAGGGTTGTGACAGTTAACAGGTTAACCTGCTTAAAATGCACATCAACGCATCACTTGACCCACAATCCCCGCACTTCCACCCCTCCGATTATCCCGGTAATATATGGCATATGTAGATGCCAAAGAGACCGGGACCAAAATTCACAATTATCAGTTACAACCGTGACGAGGGATGGTTGGTCTCGCCAAATATGTTTCCTTTTTTTTTTGTAGTACTCTTGGCGTTTTTCAATAAGACTGTTATTTACTTACACCGAAGTGAGCATCAAATTGATCGTATTAATGGCCATAACTAGTTTATCCCGCCCATCTTATCAGGGGCGGATTATACACGCAGATTTCCATTACAGAACAATGGAAGTGGGGTGGATATTCGCCGGCTGGGGCGGGGGTTATCTATCAGTCGAACGAAACATTAATGCAATTTCAATGAACCTTGCTACGGTCAAAACAACGAGCAAATCCGAGAACACTCTTTTTCGATTTGCGGCTCCAGGGGAGGGGGTAAGGATAAAATAAAAAAGGAAAGGATACCCACCCACCAGGGACGGCAACCACCATGATGCCCTACCATTCCATTCCATTCCACCTGCCCGGCTGTTTGATCCGCTTGTTTTTATGCCCATGCCCGGCACACAATTTGTTTTAGCCCGGAAAAAAGGGGGCGGGGGTTCGGAGTCCCCCTTGTTCCTGATCCCTGATCCCGGGAACCCAGGCATCTCCCACAGGAATTCCCAGGCAATATAACTGAAAGCAAAAATGAAGATAACAGTCAGCACGGCAAGTGCAAATCCACCCGTCCATTTAACAACTTGTGCCACCCTCCCACTCGTAACCCCTCCTCCCCTCCGCCCCTGGATGTCCTTCTGGCCCTCCCCCTTTTTGGGCTAAACCAACTAACTGCCTTTTTACTCGGCGCGTCTGTGGGCGATTGGCGTGGCCCTGTTTGATGCTTGTAAAGACCACTTTACCCGCTATAATAAAAATAAATCATAATATTTCCCTTGCCCCCCGTGACCCCTCCCCAGGCGCCCGTGCGAACGCCCCTGGGCACAGTGGGCTGCATATGTGATTTTTCGGGCTTTAATTGAGATTCTGTGGGGATTGAGACTTAAAGCGTGCCGGCTTTTTTACCTTATACATTTTTAAGTTTTCATGAGCCTTGCACTCTTATTTGCTTCTTCACGTATTCAATTTAAACTGTTTTCAATGCAGCGATGTAAAAAAATGTAATGTAAATTGTTTGTTATTTTAATTTTTAACTTAAGCTTATTATTTTGAATTTATGTATTAATTAACTAACAATTAAACTGTAATATGTACAAATAAATGTAATTTATTATATATAATTTTATAAGAACTTTTTAAGAAATATACATTTTTCGTAGCAATATATCATTTAACCAACATTAAAAATGAAACTAAATTGAACTTAAAGAAATTTGTAGTTTAACTAAAATAAAAGTTGTAATAAAAATAAATTTAAGTGTTTTAAAAAGAAATATTTACATTTAATTTAAAATATAGTATTTTGGAGCCAGTATATCATTTAACTATTTTATAAATGTAACTCAAGTCGATGGAAATCTTTAAAAAAAAACCTGTTTCCCGTTTAATATATTTAAATTGAAATGTATTGAAAATATCTTTGTTTGGAGAGTAGCATTTTCCTTGATTTAATTTTATAATAATACCTACATTTATTATTTTTAATCTACATAATTTAAATAAACCATCTTTTTCAATAGATGGTTATTTACATATTACTTGGATTCAAAAGAGTATAAAAAAGTTTTTAAAAAAGGAGATATTAGCAGAGGATAGATAGTGAGTGTTAAGAATATACTTTTAGTAGGTAGGTTTGATTAGAGCTTTAGAATATTTTCTGGATCATTTTTCCCACCAGATCCCACCCACGGTCCCATTGTCTCTCTTACCTTGCTGCCACCAGTAAATTCTAGATGCTGGCTGCGTACGCTTCCCCGGATCTTGTAGCTCTCGCCGTTATCCCGGAGGTTGTAACCCCGGATAATGTACTTAATGCATCTACATATTAATGTCGCACCGCCAAAAAAAGGAGAAGGTGAGGGAAAGTGCAGGCGAAAGCGAGGAAAAAACAGGGGAGAAGTACGGTGAACTGAGGGGAGGTGAGGCGCGGTGAAACCTGTGCAACCCCCGACTCCCTTGAGTTCGCTACTTTGTATGTAATTTCTATTACCAACCCCCCACCGACCTCCCCCCAACCTCATGGGCGTACGTGGAATCCCCCGTGTCCTTGTTTTCAGCGTGAGTGTGTGTATGTGTGTGCAGCGTGTCGTTGTGCTTTTGGTTGTTGTTTTTATTGCACAGACTTGCGACGCAGCGTGTGATTGCCACTTTCCCTCTGCACTCAAAAAAAAAAGTCATACCATTTTGAACTGAAATTGGGAACATCATTTTTGATCTACTTTGTTATTTTGTTTAAATTATTATTCAAAACGAAAGATTGGGAAAATAGGGCTAGGTCCTTAAACTATAGCATAAAATGTTATAACCATCACAATTTTTCAATATTCATAAGAGCCTGTTCTTAATTTAATAGAACATCTATATTAATAATAAATTAATGATAATTAGTACTGCTAAAATAAATAAAAAAGATAGTAATGAAACGCTAAAAAAAATTTCCAAATTGAATCAAAGAGTTACAAATGATATAAAACCAAAAAAAATCATATTTGAATTATCAAAAATTGTTTAAAAGCTTAAAAATAAATGTACTTTAAAGTAGACAGTAAAGTAGACATATATACATTTTTATTTTGAAGGTTTTAATATTGATAAGATTTATAAGATTCCAAAAATACGAATTTTACAAGACAACTGCTTTGTTTTAATTCTTGGATATACCATGACATATTTATATTATATTTTGTTTCCACATTACATTTTATTAAACTTATTTTTCCCTGTGTTCCCTGTCCCTTTTCCACTTTACCCTCCTCACCTGAGCCGCTGCACTTGTTCCACCGTCGTGTGCGTGACGTGGAAAAACAAAAAATATTGCCATAGAGGGTGGTTATGGATGGGTGTATGGGTGGGTTGCCCCGACCCTATCGATATGTCTCCCAGTAGAGCAGGCCGGAAAACAGACGGTAGAAGAACCGTTAAGCTGGGACCGCAATGTGTAAAAAATTACGAGCAAAAATTAAAGCAGGAGTGGGCGGAAAACGTTGGCAGGTGGTCGCCGGAGGCGGGAAAACTCATGAAAACCCGTGAAAACTCATGAAAACTCCGGACTTGCTGGCTTTCCACGGCTCCTTCTTTATTATTTCTTTTCACACGCATGATGAGCCAGCGACAATATGCTGCCATTAACCCTGAAACTTATTGCAGTGTATGCGTGCGTGTTGGCTGGCTGTTGTTGGTCGGACAAGTTTTATGAGTCGTTTCTCAAGAGTCGTACACTTAAAGGATATGGGAAAATGATTCGGGAAATTGCCAGAAAAACAGATCGGTTGCAAGTCAATAAAAAGTAGAAAAATACTTTTATCTCCAACTTATGAAAGAGATGATATCTTAAATGATATTTTACTTATGTTAAGGTGAATTCTGGATCCATTGTTTCTTTATAAATTATTTTTTCTCTTATTTTAGTCATTATAATTCATCGAAGATCTTTATTTTATTTGTTAATATAATAATAAACTAAACAATAGTTTAGTCCCTAAATTCAATAAAATAGAAATTGGAATTCAATGCTTTAATTTATTACCCAATAACTAAAAATATTTGAGTTTTTTAAGTAATTTACAGATATAAATATTCCGTTTTTCTTATTATATTTAAATCCTTATCCATTATCCATATACTCCATATAAATTGCTTTAAAACAGCCCTTGATTTTAGTTTAAATTTTAATTTAGTTTAATATCCCAATGACACATGACTACAGTCTTCTTTATTCATAGTTAAAAGTTATTTATACTTAGTTGGTATTTTTTAATTTCCAACAATACCCTTAAAAACCATCCAAGTTAGTGAGAGATACTAAGATTTATGGTAAAACTGAACTTATTTTCCCCACTCCCCATAAATATGGCGAGCCTTGTTTGCCTGCAGTGTAGAATGTCCTGGGAATTCCCTTTCAGGAATCCTCCGATCGCAAGGGCAGGGGCGTAGGGCAAAAGGTAGAAAGTAAAAGTAAAATTGTGGACCGCTGGCAGCGCGTCTGGCGGATATAAAAATAAAATAAAATCTATTACGTGGCGAACCACCCCACATTTATGCGGCAATTTGTTGCTCCTTGATTGTGTCTGTGTGTGTTTGTACTCAGATGTGTGTGTGTGTAAAAAGAAGTAAAGTAAAGTGTATCATTTTCCCATTTGTCGACCCCTTTTCACTTTTCTCCCTGGTCCACCAGGCACTTCTCGCACTTTGTCTCAATTCCCAAAACTGTCGCCCCGGCAGTTGCAATTTATGAAGATTTGTGTGTGGCCAGGATGAAAGCGAAGGGGAGGACATAACAAGGACTCAAAGGACTCAAAGGACTCAGTGCTCAGAATTCAGAATTCAAGAGTCAGCCCCGCCCACTCGCTTACGCCCTCGTCCTCGTCCCCTTGCACTTGTTTTGATTTGTTTGGAATAATAACAGATGCTTACCGTTCATATTATTCATTGTTAAAATTATTAACGCTTGACAATAAAAATTGCTATTTGAACAGCACTCGAAAGGTGCACACCCCTCATCGCATCTCATATTGGACACCCACCAATGGCAGTGGGCAAATTGCAATTTGTGCAAATATTTATGTACATTGAAAATTACTCATTTGTGTAACACCAATTAATTTCAACAAACAGCGGCAGTCGCACAACAATGGCCCAGCCATTTATAAAACTTTGCCCCTCTGCTGTTGTTGTTGTTGTCCTTTGGCTCGTGCTGGTTAAACAAATGGAGGGAAAATGAGGTCCTTTGTTTCCCCAAAATAAACGATGCTGTTGCTGTTTGGCTGTTTGTTTTGCGGTGCCAAGCAGGACACAGGACACAGAACACAGGACACACTGAACACTGTACAGTGGAGCCTGCCCAAAAACAGTTCAATCAGGTTCAAGTGGGGGGGGGGGGATTGTTATATGTTATAGAGTAGGAAAACGGCATGGAAAGGTACAATGAACCCAGGTTGTGCTGCCTCATTATTAGGACACTGCATTTGGGGCCCTCTTCAAACCCTGTTTACACTGCAATTTTTCAAGTCCCGCTAACAAATTGCAGCTAATTACTGGGCACACTAAAGAAAAATAAACCCACATACAGCAGAAGGGCAAATCGAGAAACCCTCACTGCAAATGGCACTCGAGAACTTCAAGTTTTCCACTCAATCAGAGATAATAAGAACAAATGGACAAGGGATAGATAGAGGGTCGAAGGACTTCGCAAGGGGAGACCACCTTTAATAATACCTTTCAGTGCTACGAACTTAAGAGAAAAGAAAGAATATAGTTATATATTATAAAAATTGCATTTGAATGCTAATACCTTTTCATAATATGTTTACAACAAAAAAAAAACTATCTTAAAAATGTATTATATTTCGAAAAATTGTACATAGATATACCAAAATTTATACAAAATACTATTAAAAATATACCAACTTTATAAAAGAAATACCAATACGATAATATAGAAACGTAAACTATTGAAATGTTTTATTTAAAATCCTAAGTATTTATACAACATTGGTATTTGGTTATTTTAGAGTTTTAAAACATATACCAACCTTAAAACTATAACATAAAAATGTAAGCCATTAATAAGCATTAATGCAGTATTGGTGTGGTTCATTTCGATTAAGAGCTTTATCTCATCCGCATTTCTATTAAACATTATTCAACTTATATATACATTTTAAAGAAATTAAAAATATATTTTAATAATCTGTTCATAAAAAAATAAACATTAAAAGTTTCCAACCAACTTCCAAAATAACCCATTTCAAATGCTCAGATGTAGTGTGTGAAGACTTAGTCATCGATTTTTCACTCATTTAGTTAAAAAAATAAAGGTCACCCTCCCGAGTCAAAATTTGTTTCAAAATTTCAACGCCACCGCAAGGAGTGACAAGAACTTATAGCAGTCCGGTCCATTCGAAAGTGCATAGTATCCAATTCCGTAATCTTGTTCGGTTTTAAGTGCGACCACCATGATAACGATAACGTAATACTGAAGAGGTGCGAGGGAGAGATAAGGTTTGAACGAGTGCGAGTGACCGACATATGATCCATTACATATGCCCCCCATCGAGTGAAAGGAGTGGAGAAAATAGCAGCGAGGGGTAGGATCCTAAGTTCAAGATACCTGTATTTATAAAGTACAACTTACTAAAGTCCTAATGTAAGTCGTTGAAAGGGTTCCAAGTTACAAAGAACAGAAGATCTAGGAATCTAGTTAGCTGTATCACATCAAATTTGGTCTATATCTCAGTAGGAAGTTCCTAACATGCCTGGAGTTTAGTTAAAAACCAGAAGTCATAACGAGAACTTATTCATAGAGTCGAAAACCAAAAAGCGAATAATATTTTGTGAACAAAACAAAAGTAGTGTGGTGAAAAAAGGAATAAGCCAAAGCAAATACTAGAGTTACCATTTAGTCCACAAACAGGTAGATCTGCATAAACCCAAGTTATTATATAGATAGCCTCAGATTGCAGCGACAAAAAGCAAGTGTTAAGAGAAAGAGAAGATAAAAGGATCAAAGCTAGCCCTCCCTATACCAAACCACATAGGTTTCTCGGGTTAGCCAGAGGCAGGGTGAGTCCCTGACAAGCAGCACCAACGGCGTCCCAGACGGTTTCCAGATCCAGCCCGGACAACGTAGCCGCGGCGCGCAAAACCGAGACCATGGGGGAGGTCCTCAACCTGGACAGCATCATATCCCGGCTGCTGGAGGTCCGTGGGGCTAGGCCCGGCAAGAATGTCCAGTTGTCGGAGGGCGAGATCCGCGGCCTGTGCCTCAAGTCACGCGAAATCCTACTGGCCCAGCCCATACTCCTGGAGCTGGAGGCCCCGCTGAAGATCTGCGGCGACATTCATGGCCAGTACTACGATCTGTTGCGTCTCTTCGAGTATGGCGGCTATCCACCGGAATCGAACTATCTCTTCCTGGGCGACTATGTGGATCGGGGCAAGCAATCGCTGGAGACCATATGCCTGCTGCTGGCCTATAAGATCAAGTACTCGGAGAACTTCTTCCTGTTGCGGGGCAACCACGAGTGCGCCAGCATCAATAGGATCTATGGTTTCTACGATGAGTGCAAGCGGCGCTATACAATCAAGCTGTGGAAGACCTTTACGGACTGTTTCAACTGCCTGCCGGTGGTGGCGATTGTCGACGAGAAGATCTTCTGCTGCCACGGTGGCCTCAGTCCGGACCTGACCTCCATGGAGCAGATACGTCGCATAATGCGACCCACAGACGTGCCGGACCAGGGACTGCTGTGCGATCTGCTGTGGTCTGATCCCGATAAGGATACCATCGGCTGGGGCGAAAATGATCGAGGTGTGAGCTTCACCTTTGGCGCCGAGGTGGTGGGCAAGTTCCTGCAGAAGCACGACCTCGACCTGATCTGCCGCGCCCACCAGGTCGTCGAGGATGGGTACGAGTTCTTTGCCAAGCGCCAGCTGGTCACCCTCTTCTCGGCGCCCAACTACTGCGGGGAGTTCGACAATGCCGGTGCCATGATGTCCGTGGACGATACGCTGATGTGTTCCTTCCAAATCCTCAAGCCCGTGGAGAAGCGCAAGAAGTAGACGGTCTATAGATCCCCAGACATATCACTATAACACACTTTACATACCTCCGCCACACGAACAGCGCTCTCATCTTCATACACATCCGCATTCCACATTCTCGCAGCGATACGAACACATATCATGATTACAAGACCTGCCTGTCGTCAACTGGATCGAAGGAACGCCCCGACTTCAACTTGGATCTCAATGGAATTCGATGTACTGATGGTTTTAATCCGCACTTTGGCTGTTTATAAAGAATTCAAACTAGTTATGTTGGTTTTATTTCATAGAATTAAGATTGAGGATAATGATAAAAAATAGAAGCCAGAATGAGGAATGTCTTACCCCGTTGGACTCTCATGCCATAAAATTCGAAATTTGGTCAAAAAATAAATTTTCCTTAAAGTGATTGGGATCGTTAGCATATTTAGCAAGCTGCTCAAAACAGTCGGTCTTTTAGCTGTACTCCTTGATTTGGCTAAACTACGATTGAAAAACCGGAAAGAAATGTCGCATTTTTCGACTGAAATCTGAATATCCTATTTTTGACTAAAATCGTAATCCTATTTTTTCGCCATAAAATTCAGTTTTTTGACTGCCATGTTAAAAATAAAAGTAAGAATGAGGAATGACATACCTCGTTGAGCTCGTTGTTTAATTTCCAATCAATTGGCATTCAAACCTAGAAAATTTTGAATTTTGCCATTTTTTGCAAAAAAACATGAGGTACCCCCTTACAAAAATGCGAAAATTGGTCAAAAAATAAAATTTCCTTAAAGTGATTGGGATCGTTAGCATATCTAGCAAGCTGCTCAGAACAGTCGGTCTTTTAGCTGTACTCCTTGATTTGGCTAAACTACGATTGAAAAGCCGGAAAGAAAATTTTTGACTAAAATCTGAATATTGTATATTTGACAAGAGTCTGAGCCCAATTTCTTAGCCAAAAAATTTCAGATATTTGGCTGCCATAATAAAAAAAAAGAAGTCAGAATTAAGTTTGAGGATTGTGTTGTTATAATAAACCTAAAGACCTGGCTTTGATATATTTGTTTTATAATCCGACTTCAACCTGGATCTCAATGGATTTCGATGCACTCTTGGTTTTTAACCGCACTTTGGTTATGTAGGAAGAATTCTATTGAGATAATTTAGTTATTTTTTGAGATTTAGTTTGGGGATTGTGATAAATTTATTCTATAATCTAACTTTAACTCGGATCTCAATGGAATTCGATATACTGAAGGTTTTATTCCGCACTTTGGCAGTTTATAAAGAGTTCTATCTATCTATTCCATTTATTTTTTATTGAAGTAAATTTTTCGATATTTAGCAAATAAAAATAATCTGGTCAATTTGATTTCTATTTCATTTTTAATTTCTAAAAACAATACTAATGGACAATAAGTCCCAAACTAGCAATAGCAATGTAAAAACACTATACTACTTCATAAACTCCTGTATCATTAGAAATAGCTTGTTCTAGTGTTCCGAAGTTTATCAGGAAAAGGTTGGCATATTAAAGTGCCCATATTCTATTCAAAAATCTTCAAACTATCATTTATTTTTCATCCTATCCTAATGCCGAAGCGCAGAAAAGTATGCCAAGAAATCTGGCGGGGTGAAAAGCGGGGGATTCCCCTCGAAAACTCGATGCTATCTGTTTGTGCCGGGTGACAAAAGTCACCGCCATAATATATTAACAATGCTTAAAAATTAATGAACAATAACAAAGCGCACACACATGCACACGAAGAGGGAGACGGCGATATGTGGGGGGAAAGAGAGGGAAGGAGCGAAAACTGGCAGACAGACTGGCAAACAAACAAAAACAATGACAAAGATACAACAAATTGCGCCAAAAACGCTTTATTATGTCAAAACAAGATGGGGAAAAATCGAGAAAAGGAACCCAGTGTGACAACAACAAATTACATTATATATATAATGAGGTCATTTGCGCGTAAACAATCGGGGGGAATGGGATGCCAGAAAAGAAAATAGGAAAAGAAAGGTAGAGGGAAAGTCAGAGAGAGTCGGGAAACCCAGTCACATGTTTATCAACAAACGGCAAATAAATAAATTATGTTGGCAAATTTGTTAATAAATCATGAAGCTGGCGACCAAAGTCAAAGCGCAAAATTAAAGCAAGAAAGAAGACAATTCTCAGGTGGAAAAATTTAACGACAAAGGAATACTCTTTTGGAGTTAGGGGAGCTTTAATTAAAAAGGGGTTTCAAAACAGGGGTTTCAAAACAGGGGTAAAAAAGCATTAAAAAGTACTTACATATCTATACAGTTTGGATTGTTCAAAATATTCCAGTTAAGATTTAAGCATAAGAGGATAGACATATAAATATAATATTATAACAAAATCATTTTCTTTTGCAGTATTCTAGAACACTAGAAAATAAGTTAATTAAGTATACATAATAATAAGAAAAACTCATAAAAACTAAGAATTAACACTAGAAAATACTAGATATATATGAGATCTTAAAAAAATATCTATCTTTATAGGTCATGAAGTATTATATCTTCCCTTTGCTCAACATTCAGGTTTCTTAATCAAACAAAACCTCTACAAAATTGAAACTTGTTGATAAAAGTCAGAATAATCTTTCGTAAATTTTAAGACCCTTAAATAATATTATATGTTTATTATCCAACTCCCTTGTAAAATCAGCTCTCGCACACACACAAATTAAGCTCTATGTGTGCGATGCTCGGCTGACGTCGCTGCTGCTGAGCATATATATAAACATTTATATAGCCACATTCATATATATATATATATACACGTTGCAGTAGAAAATCAATGCAGACAACATTTGGCAATTTGGCAGCACTGCAATTGTTTCCTCTTTTTCCGGTTAGCTTCTCCTATTTGTTTGTATCCTTTTTGTTGCGAACTGTCTTCTATTGTTGCATTTCATTTGTCCCCTGGCCAGAAAAGGGGTGGAGATACATGGCATGCCACACCCACACCCCCACTCCCCCCCCCCCCCCCCCCACACACACACACTCTCACAAGCTTTCTCCTTCCATCTCGCTCTGACTTTGATGTTTCGGATATGGATACATTGTTTTCCACACACTGCAACAAATTTTGGTTTCCCTTGGTCAAAATAAAATTAAAATAACATTTAATTATTAATTATTGTTTTTTAGAAACACTAATTTTGTATCTAAAATATTTTTATTGTGTTATAAAATATTTATAGGGAGTATTTATATTAAATGTATTTAGGATCAAAGTAAGTTAAAGTAGTTTATTTTCTGAGAAGTTATTTTCCCTCTGTATGCATATTTCTTGGACATTTCAAAATGTTTTAATTTTGTATTTATGGATACTATTTAGTATTTAACTTATTTTAATAAAATCTTTTTATCCGTTTTCTTCTTTTTAATAAATTCATATAATTTTTTGCTTACTTGAATAAAAGCTATTAAATCCTTTGAAATCCTTTTGTCCTGAGAGAACGCTTTTTATTTTCTAGATTTCAGAAGAAGTTACGTTCTTTGCTACTTTGGGTTTTAATAATTTTTAACCTCAATACTTTTTGGCTGAATTCAAATTTTCGTTTAATTCCCAGCTGCTTTAAAAACATATCTTAAAGTGTTAAACTAAAACTCCATTTGTTTAACTAACGTTCCCTATTCAGGAACCAAACTTTTTTAAACAGATGTTTTTGTGGGATTTTCACTTTAAGTTTGAAAGAGTTCTATGAAATAACTTTTTATTTTAGGGGAGCCCTTCATAAATAACAAATTACTTTAAACATTTAAGACCTGACTTTGATATATGTGCTCTATAATCTGGATTATTCTCGAAGTAGACGTTTTTCATGTAAGCCTTAAGTTACAGCTTAGCATCCTTTGAATAATTTTATTAATTACAAATTATGCGCCTAATGAAATGGCCAGCAGTGGGACCTTTTGGCAGGGGTTTGCTGGGGCTAGTGGGTGGGTCAGTGGGTGGATTCCATATATCCTTCGATGCTGGCGTTGACGTTAACGGTAAAGTTAACGCTGGCAGCGACATCGGCACTGCCCACATGAATTTTGCATAAGCCCCAGCCAACCACAATGCAGCACATCCCGCTGCCCGGTTCTACGGGTTTTTGGTTACGACTACAGCTATACGGGGATATACGGCTATACGGCTATAGGGCTCTGCGGGTCCAGGGTCTCCGGATCTGCACTCTCTCTCTCTCTCTCTGGCGCCCTCTCCCTCTCTCTCTCTTCTTAGCCGGGATTTTTGGGTCCCGCTTTGGTTTTTCGGCTTGTTGTGCGTGTGTGTGTGTGTGTGTACGCGCAGGGTGGTTCCGTACTCTCTGCGACGACAGAGATGGCACTATCGCGTGTGAGAGAGAGAGAGAGAGGAGCTGCTCCCCGGAGGAGTTGCAAGTGCGAGAGAGACGGGCAGTCAGTGGGCCAGAGAGAGAGGGAGCGAGCGAGCGCCAAGGGTGCAAACCAATAACCGTCAGACTAATTTTGGGATTGGTTTATAATTGAAGAGTTTGCCATTGTATTCGGCACGAAAACTTTGGGTCGGGGGTAGTAGCATCTACATAGTTTTTGTACCATTCACATAAACACACAAATATACCCGAAAATACATACATATATGTGTGGATGGGTGGGTGGGTGTGTGTTTCTTATTGTTCTCCATAGGCCTCTCCTTATCATTTTAGAGTTTTACATAATTGGGCAGGGGTCCGATTTTGCCTACCCAGCTATTTTCCATTTTCCGTATCTGTGTCCGTTTTCCTCAGTGGGGGCGTGGTATGTTTGCCGACTGTACATAGGAGAGCAGAACTAAGCGCTAGTTTTACCCGCCCGACTGCGCCACATTTACAAAAAGATAAATAAATATGAGTGACCCAGCCCACAGCACCGAAAAACCTTCTCCTCCCCCATATTCAAATGAAAATGGGAACTGGAAAAGCTGCTAAAACATTGGGGGGGGGGGGGAATTCAAGGGGGCAGCTAGAGCGAGAGGGGCATGGGACTTAGAAAGAGCTAGCAAGAGGCCATCCGGTCTATTTGGCCTTCTGTTGTAGCATACTTTTCAGCTGTAATCAGTTTAAATGCTTAACAAAGCAACACAAAAGCATGAGGATGGGGGCAAAGGAAGGAGAGCACTGCTCCAGCTTTTTAGTTGCTATTCATATTTGTATAAATAATTTAGCAATTCTATAAATATTTGATGGCTAGACAAAAGAGTTGCGAGCGCCCTCGTATCCGTATCCGTATCCGTTCCATTTCGTTTCGTTTCGCTCTCAGTCGTTTGTATCTGTGTGTTAGTCAATCCATGTGTCTGTGTGTCTGTGTGTGTGGGCCTGATTTCCCGTTCAATTAAAGCTGCCAAAGGGGATCCTTTGGCCCCTCGCAACCCCCCGCGCTTTCGGAAAAGTAACAAGTGTAGCCCGGGTAAAAGGGTTGTCAGTTCTTTTCCGGATGGATGGGGAACGACCGGGGACTTTAATTAGAGGTAGCTTTAAATACATTTCTTATGCCGTGAGTGGAAACTTTATAAATTATCTGCTTTGGGGGCTTATGGTGGGGGTTCGGATCCTGATTACAATGATAATGATTAGCCGGTTAATGATGGTGTTTATGATAATTTCATTGCTGTAGGTATACAAACAAAAGGATACGTTTTGTAGTATTTGTGCTTCAAGGTTTTTAAATACAGGTTTAAGGAAGGGGTTTAAGTTGATTATTTGACTCTTTTAAAATGAAATGAACTAAAAAAATATTTATTTCCCCCACTTTTGAATTTTAAGAATATTAATACATTCCAATATATTGAATTCCGTTATAATAATGATACGAGTGTTCATATTTGTATCCAAAACATTTGTTTTACTCATTTAAGAGTTAAAACATCGGCACTTGTCTTGTAAAAAAATGTTTCTTTATATATACTTTTTATATTGAATATTTATTCAAATCATTTCTAAATACCATTCATTGAAATAATACTCATTTGGGTGATTGTTGTAACCAATATAAAATATATTTTCAGATAACCACTACTTGCTAATGTTTTAATAAAGTCCGTTTCCATTCCAATGCTATTTAGGAAAATCCTTTTTCTCGACAGATGCACCACTCGATGGACCAGCTGGACATGCTGGATCCGACGGGCTCGATGACCACGTTGGCGCCCATTTCGGAGTCGCCGCTGACGCCCACACACCAACACCTGCACGGTTCCTATCACAGCATGAATCACATGATGAGCCACCACCATCCGGGCACGTTAAGTGGCCACACGGGGGGTAAGTCTTTGCCGCTCCTCGGGAGCTCCGTTCCACCGCCAGACACCTCCAACGTATCTCTCTGCCTCTCCTGGTTTAAAGGTCACCATGGACACTCAGCGGTACATCATCCTGTTATCACGGCGGCGGTGGCAGCCGCTGGCCTGCATCCCGACACAGACACCGATCCTCGCGAGCTGGAGGCGTTTGCGGAGCGCTTCAAGCAGCGGCGCATCAAGCTGGGTAAGTTGGCTCCAAATACAATTATGAAACAATTAATTATGGAATTTTCATTTTAAATTAAAGAAATATTATTATTTAATGAATAGCAAAACAAAATGTATCAATATATTTATAGCAATCATAGTTAACTTTAATTTTTATTAATATAAATTGATTGGATATCTTACAAAACATGATGCCGCTTAAAATTTTAGAGTTAGTTTTGATAATTAAGAATTGAAGTTATAAATTTCTAAAAAAAAGGGCTTCAATAATACGTTCCCTTACATTCCTTCGATGGATAAAATACTTTGAAAATTGCAAAGAGCAATAGAAAAATAAATAAGTGGAAGCGCTTTTACATTTGTTTTATTTATTTTAAAGATTTTTTCACCTAAATTTGGCAAACAAAAAGCTCTTCAAAATTCTAATGGTCTTCAAACTTAACAAATATTTTCAAGGGTTTGTTTTTCCATAAAAAAAAGGCCAGTGCCCTATAGAAAAGGTAAAACAGAAAGTAATCAATATAAAAATGATCAGAACACAGTATCAAATTAGCTTTTTTAAATTGCATAAAATTATAAAAATGATTTGGTTTAACGCTTATATTTGTTTTATATTACTTTTGTATTATTCACTCATAAGAAAGCTTTTAGTATCTTAACATAGAATATGTGAAACAGAAAGTAAACAATATAAAAATAATCAGATTACAGTATCAAAGTAGCCTTAATAAATTGGTTAAAATTTAAAAATAATATGGTTTAACCTCTATATTTGTTATATTATTTTTTTTATTATATACTCTTCAGAAAACTTGTAGTATCTTAACAGTATTTGAGCTTTTTCTTCAGTGTAGTTAAATTAATTTGTCATTAATAAATGATTGCGAATTCATTGTGCGAATTGCAGGTGTCACGCAGGCGGACGTGGGCAAAGCCCTGGCCAATCTCAAGTTACCTGGCGTCGGAGCGCTGTCGCAGAGCACGATCTGTCGATTCGAGAGCCTGACCCTGTCGCACAACAACATGATCGCCCTGAAGCCCATCCTGCAGGCGTGGCTCGAGGAGGCCGAGGCGCAGGCGAAAAACAAGCGGCGCGATCCGGACGCGCCCAGTGTCCTGCCGGCGGGCGAAAAGAAAAGGTAGAAAGTGTTTTAATTGACCCGGTAGCGTAGCCCCAGCCCCAGCCCAGACCAACCAACAACCCAAAGCCAACATTCCAGACCCAAGCCCAAACCGAATCCCATTCCTATTCCCAATTCCAATCCCAGACCCATGGCACCCTCCTCCAGCATCTGAGCGCGAAGTAATTGGCCAGACACCAAAAACACCAAGAGATATGGGACCCATTTAACAGACCATAGCCCATAAGCGAATTAAAATGCAGCAATTATTTATCAATGATGTGGAATAGCTAATTAATGAATAATTTACCTTGGCAACAGGTTCATTTATTCAGAAAAATATTAAATGATGTAGCAAATAAAGTAAATATAGTGAACAATTCGTTCTAAAAAGCGCCATCTAACAAAAAAGTTACATTACAAGTGGGGTAAAAGTTCGTAAAGCGCCACCTATATTTGGGTTTTTTTTGGTTTGATATGTTCAGTGCTCTTTATTTTGAAATATTTTAAAAACAAAATTATTTACAAAAATGAAAATAAAAAACAAACATTTATTTATGAGATTAATAAGACGCTACCTAAGTTTCTTTTCTTTTTATGGTTTTAGTTTCCTTGATATGTTCAGTTCCATTTTATTTAAAATATTTTAAATTAAAATTTTATTAAAAATATTATTGATGTATTTTTTTATACAAAATGTAAAAAAAATTTAGAAAATAAATACATTTATTTATGCAATTTATAAGACTTAACCTTAGTTTTTCTTTTTTTTAATGGACCCTCGTGTACAACTTTCCTTTTCTCTTTTATAACGCATTGATAATTTAAATTTTAAAAATATTTTATATTCAATTAAATAAAAAACCTTAATTTCATCCTTCGTTTAGAAGATATAGATTAGATTTCTTTAAGAATTTAAAGTAGAACAACGTTTATGGGCTATTGTCAACCGGTCCCTATACGACAAATAAAACGAAGATATCGAAAAATAGGACTATTCGCATCGATCAACAAATATATCAGCACCATCATTACCGCCATTAACACCATCTTTACCGAACCGACTACCGACCGTCCCGCAGCTTAGGGCCCGCTTCTAAAGTAATCTATATCGAGTCTTTTTTCAAGAAAAAGGACTTCCATTGCGGCACCTGAAAAGCGTTCCCTGGAAGCCTACTTCGCCGTCCAGCCGAGGCCATCCGGTGAGAAAATCGCTGCCATTGCCGAAAAGCTGGATTTGAAGAAAAACGTGGTGCGCGTCTGGTTCTGCAATCAACGTCAAAAACAAAAACGTATGAAATTTGCCGCTCAACAACACTGACAATCAAATAATACAGCCACACAATTAGGTATAGTTAGTAGTGTAACACCCTCAATGACTGGCCACGGTTCGGCGGGATTTGGATACTGATAGTCGTTTATGACGGCGGCAGCGGGAGCGGCGGCAGCGACCACATTGGGAACGGCGGCAACATCGGCGTGTCTGGGCGACTATTACCTTTAGTGATTCTGATTGCGGTTCTGATTCTGGTCTTGGTTTTGGTTCTGGTTCCGATCCGATACGATCCTGAAACCGATGCCGAGTCCGATTCCGTTTCCGGTACCGATCCTGATCCCGACACTGATACTGATTCTGAGTCCTGATCCTCAAAACAATATAGTATTCCTCGCAAGAAGCGGCAGCGGCACCACAACCACCACCACCACCACCACCACCACCCAACCATCATCGCAACCACGGCAGCAACAACTACTTCTCTCTATATCTTTCACTCAGTAATCAACCAGCAGCGGCCCAAAATCGGCCACAAATAATACTAATAATAGCAGCATTACACACAACTATAACATTTATAACACCTTCTACAGAAATATATATCCCACGATTTTCTCACCCAGAGAGACCCAAACCCAAAAACCCCCTCCCGACAAAATCCAAGAAGCAACTTGAACGGAGAAAACTCGAGCATTACCGAACATCGTTTGAAAATAATACAAATTGAGAATGCTAAATGAATACCAAGAAATACAAGAATTTTTTAGGAACGAATAATGAAACAATGGACCAACATATCAAATGCAATAATTTATTGAATTGTATAAGAAAAAAAGGTAAGCTGCATTTAAGATAAAATTATTTTGATGTGGTCTATAAGGTTTATTTTTATTTCAAGCTGAACAAAGTAGTTATTTCGTAACTGAATTGCTTAAATATGATATTTTATAATTTATATTTTCTTTAAATATTATTTAAATCATTTAAAAATACTTATTGTTAATCTTATATTTTAGAAATTTAATAACAACAAAGCCTAGAAGAGCCCTAGAATAATATAGGTATACTTTATCATTGTAGTAAAATAGTTTTTCTCTCTGTAAGTCACCTTTATTTGCCGCATTTAACCGGAATCCTTTTTTTTCATTTCTTGTTCCAGAACAAAAACGAGCAAAAAAAGCGAAGAACAAATTGAAATGATAAATCAATTGAACACGGGCCTTCCCCCTCCAAAAAGAGAATCCCCCAACTGCTACTGCCCAAAGACAAGGATACACAGGATAATACACACACGGATACAGATTCAGTTGCAGATACAGATACAGACACAGATACAGACACACAAACACTCAAAGACCAAAAGAATGCCAAGAAATTGCTTCAAGTGATCCGATAATAAGAATCTAAGCTTATAAATCTAAGAAAAAGGCAAAATGAATGTGGACGAGCTGGAAGGAAGGCGATGGACATCAGCAGCGGCAACAGCAGCAACGGAAATTGCAGCCGCAGCAGCAACATGAGTTGCATGTTGCTTGTTGCAGCGGCAGCACAGCAGCAGCAGCAGCAACCACTACACACACAACCCCCACCCCACCCCCGCGCACACTTGCCCCCCTCCCACTCCCCCAAGAACACGAGCGATATGCATTAGCCACTGTATATAATACTATATACACATATAGGGAACTTTGATTCGATTGTAAATACCGCAGCAATATATGTAACACACCCACACATCAACTGTAGCCAAAAGAAACCAGAAACAAAAAGATTTTCAGCTAGCTTACAGTAGAGATCCCAGCCAAAGCAAACTAATCCTAAGTCCTAAGTCCCTAGTCCCTAATCCGTAATCCTTTGTCCCCAAGAACCCTGCCAACTTTCCCTGATTTCCCCTTGCCAAAAAAACACTCTCCCAAAATAAAAACAGCTAAGCAAAGGCATAATTTAATTTTTTTTTGTCTAATTATAAGTAAACTAATGCAAAAAAATATATCATAAACTAAAAAATCCGGAGAAACCCCCTCCCAAAAAAAAAATGTTAGCAGCAACTGGAGATATTGCAACGAATTTAAAATGTTGCCAAACTAAACTAAACTAATGCAGAAAGAGAAACCAAAAATCATATATAAATAAAAGCAAACAACTCTATGACAACTATGAATTACATATAAATATATAGTATATATATAAAGAATTTAAAAAAAATTATATACTATACATAACATTTTTTTTTTGTTTTTTTTATTGTATAATTTAGCACATTTCATAGTTTTAACTAGAATTGTACATATAAAAGAAGAAATATAAAGCTATTGGATAATGATATATATATACATAGGTATATATATATATATAGCGTGCGTGTGAGTGATTTTGAATGAGTAGCCATAAAAGAAAAACCCCAAAAAACCAAAGTCAAGACAAGCGCGAAATTCAATAATAATTTTAAACGAAAGCTAAATAAAATAACAAATAACAAATAGTTTTGTATCAAAAAAGAATGAACAAACAAACATTTGCCGACAAATTAGTGCATAAAAATGTAAACCAAGTAAAAACATAAAATTTTTTTCATAAAACCAATACAAAATGCGCATAATAATATCTATAAAAAATTATAATACATACCATTGATAACGGACATGCCCAAGCTCATAACTACATTTAAATTTAATTTTAGTAGTTTCTAGACACAAGAAATACTGTAGCATGAAAATCAATTGATTGCTGCGCTCGAGTGCAGGCGGAGATATATAAGTAAATAATAAAAATGCAGCAAAAAAGCAACAAAAAATAAGAAAACCAATTTGGAGTTCTTAATGGGATAGTTATTTTTGGGAAAATGGTAAAACTCTCTTGTATTTGTCCACCAAATAAATTATTCTGAGTCCATATCGATTTATTCCTTAATCGATATGTAAAGTCGATTATTCCGATAAGTAACCAATAGTTTCCTACAGTATCTCAAATGGTTCTACGTCCACTCCAATTTAACCTTATTATACGTCATATTCACCAAATAAACTAACCTGAATCCTTATCGATTTATTCCTATCTCGATATACAAAGTCGATCATTCCGATGAGTATCCAAAATATTCCTACAATATCTAAAATGGTTGAACGCCTACTCCAAATCAAAAACAATACATGTATCCAATCAATTTATTGGGATAAATCCGGTTGGAAATTTCCTTATGTGTATCTGATCGTATTCCAAGGAACAGTTCATTATCTTATCATAGCGGGAAGTTCTTTCAGGGGTCTAGACCACCTTGTAGCGTCCCTTGTTAAAGACGTGATGAGCGGAACTGAGCTTCAGCAGCTCCTCCTTGATGAGTCGCGTTATCTCACGCTTGGCCTTCTGAACGGCCAGCTCGCTGCAACTCTCGATGGCCAGGTAGAGCTTCCTCTCGCCATCCGGTGGATTCTTACCCTGCGGCACATACGTTCCACGCACGGTGAGACCCGCCTCCGAGTACTCGGAGATCTGGGCGAGTGCCTCCTTGGAGGTGACCTTCCAGCGCGCCTGCTGCGGGAAATCGTTGATCTCCAGCTCCTCCTCGTATTTGGTGAACGAATTGGTAGTGCCGCCCATCAGCGGACCCAGTCCCTCCTCATCCTCCTTGGGCTGGTAGTTCAGCTTGTTGTTCAGCTTGGCGGCCATCTGCTCAGCCACCGTTCGTGCGGTTAACAGCGGTGCGGCGGCGCCCGTGACATGCGGTCCCTTGAGCATGGGTTCCACAGCCACTACGCTGGCCTTCGTATCCAGGTTCTTACTGCTGTTGATCTTGGAAGCCAGCCGCTTGGCCAACTCCAGTTTGTCGGAGCTGAGGGCTCCGCCAGCGATTTGACCACCACCCGCCGCCGAGGCCGCTGCAATGGCCAAATTGGCAGCAGCAGCAGCTGCCGCCGCTTGGGCCGCCGCCGAGGCCAGGGCTGGATTTCCTCCCGAAACGGCAGCAGCAGCAGCAGCCGCAGCAGCAGCCGCCGCCGCAGCAGTGGCCGCAGCCGAAGTATCCTTCACCGTTCGCTTGGCCGCAAAGATTTGCTCAATCTGCTGGTCAATATCCTGCTCGATATCCTCCTCATCGTCTGAATCGGCCAATCCCAGGGCCGCCTTCTGCAGCTTCTTGCTCTCCTTGACGGCATTGAACTCCTGCTCATCAAACTTAAAGCCCTTGCCGCTGAAACCGCCGCCCGTGTGCACCGTTTTGCCCTCGGCCTCCTGGGCGGCCTTGTACTCTGTCCAAAGGGTTGTCAGCTCGGCGGGAATCAGGGTGCCGGATAAGTCCAGGGCGCGGATAATGTCCCCAGCATAGCGACATTGTTCTGGTGTTATGAAAGTGTAGGCGCTACCTTTTTTGCCCGCTCGACCGGTGCGACCACATCTGGGGAAATGGGAACGCAGTTAGGGATATAGCCTATATAGACTGGAAATGCAGAGCTCACCTGTGCACGTAGTCCTCGTAGTGGTTGGGTACATCGTAGTTGACCACCAGTATGAGATCCTTAACGTCCAGGCCGCGCGCAGCCACCGAGGTAGCGATCAACAGCCGCACCTTGCCCGACTTGAAGTCGATGATGGTGGAGTCGCGATCGAACTGATCGATGCCGCCGTGCAGGCTCATGCAGGGATACGAGGCCTTCATCAGGTCGCGCAGCAGAATGTCGGCGTTCTCCTGCTTATCGACGAACACGATGATGCTGCCTGCCTCCTGGTAGATGCCCAACAGCTCCAGCAGCTTGAAGAACTTGGCGTCGTCGTTGAGGATGACCACATTCTGCTCAACATCCTTGCACACCACCGACCGACCGCCAACGATCACCTCGATGGGCTTCTTGAGAATGCGTCGGGCCAGCGCCTCCATTTGCCGCGGGAACGTGGCGCTGAACATGACCGTCTGTCGATCCGGCCGTACGTTGTCGATGATGCGCATCACCTGCGGCTCGAAACCCATGTCGAACATGCGATCTGCCTCGTCCAAGACGACATAGGTGACGCGGCGCAGGTTCGTTACTCGTCCAGAATTCGCCGCCAGCATATCGATCATGCGACCCGGCGTGCACACAATTATCTCTGCGCCTCGCTTCAGCTCGGCAATCTGCTCGGAGATCCCGGTGCCGCCGTAGACACAAACTGGCCGCAGGTTCAGCGACTTGCTAAACCTGCGGATGTCCTTGCCGATCTGCATGCACAGTTCACGCGTGGGCGCCATTATGATCGCGATCGCGCCGTCGCCATTCTCCAGGCTCGGCTGGTCCAGAATGTGCCTAAACATTGGTAAAATGAATGCCAACGTCTTGCCACTGCCAGTTTTAGCAATACCTATCAGATCCCGTCCGGACATGATGGCCGGTATGGCCTGGCACTGGATGGGTGTGGGCTTCTCGAAGCCCAAACGTCGCAGCACGTCCATCTCTTTCTTGCTAACGCCGCACTGGGCCCAGGTCTGGAGGAGATGGCAGAGAGAGGATTATCAGTTAAGGTGGGGTTTGGCAAACGAAAATTAATATTTAATTGGAGTATGAACTATATTTGACCCCCTGAGTTGCCCGCATAATCGCTAGCTGCTAGAGACTCACCTTGATGGGCTTCGGACAGCCCTTGCCCTTCACCTGGACGCCCTCCAGCTCGGTACGATACTTCTCCACATCGCCGGCGGTCATGCGAGTCAGCTCCGGCACCTCGACGTAGAAGTTCTTGCGGAAGGGCGCATATGTCACCGAGGAATGATCGATCTTGGCCAGCTCCTTGCGGTGCTTCATCGCCAGGTTAACGGCCGTGTCACGTATGTCTTCCAGCTCATCCTCGCTGGAGTACTCGAGGCTGTCCA